CAGATTCCTCATGAGCACAATTAAGTGTTCCGGAATACTCATACTTCGCAATGTTGTTCATAGCTTGTCATAACCCACACAATTGAAAGCCTTTGTGTAGTCAGTAAAGCACAGGTAAACATCTTTCTGATATTCTCTGCTTTCAGCCAAGAACCATCGGACATCAGCAATTTCATCCCTCATTCCACGGCCTCTTCTGAATCTGGCTTGAACCTCTGGAAGTTCTCTGTCAATGTATGGTTGCAGCCATTTTAAATTAACTTTGTTAAAACATTACTTGAGTGGAATAGCAATGATTTTGTCTGATGATGTCCACATTCAATTGGGTCACCTCTCTTTGGAATGGGCACAAATATAGATCTCTTTCAGTCATTTAACCAGGTAGTTTTCTTCCGAATTTCTTGGCATAGATGAGTGAGTGCCTCCTGTGCCTCCTGACTTTCTTGAAAGATTTAAATTTTCATTCCATCAAATCCTGGTGCCTTGTTCTTTGCCAATTACTTCAATGCACCTTGGAGTTCCTCCTTCAGTATTATTGGCTCTTAATCATATGCCACCTCTTGAAATGGTTGAACATCAATCATATCCTTTTGGTACAATGACTCTGTGTATTCCTTCCATCTGCTTTTGATGCTTTCTGCATCATTCAATAATTTGCCCAGAGAGTCTTTCAATAACAAAAGTCAAGGCTTGAATTTTTTCTTCAGTTACCCCAGCTTGAGAAATGCTGAGCATGTTCTTCCTTTTTGGTTTTCTGATTCCAGATCTTTGCACATTTTGTTGTAATATTTGGCTTTATCTTCTCTAGCAGACCTTTGAAATTTTCTGTTCAGCTCTTTTACCTCCTCATTTCTTCCATTTGCTTTAGCATCTCTTCGCTGGAGAGCAAGTTTCAGTGTCACTTCTGACATCCATTTTGACCTTTTCCTCCTTTCTTGTCTTCTTAATGACTTTTTGCTCTCTTCATGTATGATTTTCTTTATGTCATCCCACAACTCTTGTGGTCTTCAGTCTTTAGTGTTTAGTGTATCAAATCTGTTCGTCAGATGGTCTGTAAATTCACGTAGGGTATTTTCAAGGCCCTATTTTGGCTCTCGTGGACTTGTTTTCATTTTCTTCAGCTTCAGTTTGAATTTGCATGTGAGCAATTGATGGTTTGTTCCACAGTCTGCTCCTGGCCTTGTTTTGACTTCTTGTTACCATCGTCTCTTTCCACAGATGTAGTCGATTTGATTTCTGTGTATTCCATCTGGCTAGGTCCTATGATGTATCTTGGTGATTTTCTTTTGGGGTTTATGCTTTTGGAGTTTGTTTAACTTCATTAATGGCTAATTTCTCTTCTTTCATAATATTAATTAAGTTTTCTTTCAGCAACTCTTAAAAAGTTTTTTCTACGGTTTGTTTTATTTTTCTCTTCCTATTCTGGAATTCCAATCACATGTAAGTTATTCCTTTTGATAGTGTTCCTCTTAAATCTTAGGCTTCCTTAAGATTTTTTTAAATGCTTTTTTTTTTTCTGATTGTTCCTCTTGAAGATGAGTATTGAAAAATTTGTCTTCAAAAGTCCTGATTTGGCCTTCAATTTTGCCTTTTCATTGTATAATCTGTTTCTGATGTCTTAGTATTATTTTTTTTACTTTGTAGTTGCTGTTTTTGTGTGGCTTCCAATTTTACATTTATTTTGTCAATTTGTTCTTGTATTATTTCCATAAATTCTTACTTGAATTCATTGATCTTTCTCTCGATCTGTTGAAGGTACCTAAAAAAATTCTTTTAAATTCCTTACTAATTAGTTCTCAAGTAGTTCTGGTTCCACTTCTGATATTATATTTTCTGACTCTATATTGTGGTCACTCTGTCTTGTTTCTTTGTGTAAGCTGAAATTACCTGTTTTCTCCGAGACATTGTGGTATTGTTGCATTAATATCTAATTGATGACTATCTGTTGGTGTGTTCTCAGGCACTCACCACCTGTCTCCTGGTGGATGTGAGAGCAACTGGAAGGAAGTCCGAACACAGTTCTCCGTTCTCTGTTTGTGGTAGTTTAGGGCAGGCTCAAGCGCCTCTGGAAGGACCCCAGACAGAGGTGCACAAGAGTGGGCACCACTGGATGCTGTGTTTTTGATGGTGGGACTGACAAGACCCCAGCTACCAGGAGGGCAAGAGAACAAGGGAGAGTTGCACCCCTTTGTCTCCCACCTACAGATGGGCCTGTGCCTGCAGGCTGCTGTATCACTCCACGATAGCTGACAATTGGCTTGTTTTTCTTCTCTCTTTCTTCTCCTATCCAGCTTCCTCTTCCAGTCAGTGCTTAGCCAACCTCTCTGCCCTCTCTTCTGAAGCTCAGGGTTCCAGGACCGCCATCTGTATCTCTTTCACTATGTAGCCCAGGTCTTTGTTGCAGAGGGTCTGCTAAGTGTGTCTGCCCTACTCCACCATCTTGCCCCGATTGTGTTTTTCATTGTGCATTCCCACCAGCAATGGAGGAAAATTCTGATTGCCTCACATCCTTGCCAGCACTTGTTTATTTCTGACTTTTAAAAAATACATAGACATTCTAGTAAGAGTGGAAGAGTGGTATCTCATTGTGGTTTTATTTTCCATCCATTTAATGGCTAATGCATGAAGAAAGTGTATTTGTTTTAAAGACAGGGAAAAAAGAAAAGACCAAAATGGATGTCAGAAGAGACTCTACAACTTGCTCTTGAATGTAGAGTAGCTAAAGCAAATGGAAGAAATGATAATGTAAGAACAGAATTCAAAGGTAGCTCAGGAAGACAAAGTAATGTACTATAGTGAAATGTGCAAAGACCTGGAGTTAGAAAACAAAAAGGGAAAAACATCCTCAGTATTTCTCAAGCCAAATGAACTGAAGAAAACATTCAAGCCTCAAGTTGCAATATTGAAAGATTCTATGGGTGAAATGTTGAACAACTCAGGAAGCATTCAAAGAAGATGGGAAGAATCCAGAGTCACTGTATCCAAAAAGAATTGGTTGCAGAAAAAAAAGAGAACTGACCAATGCTCAACCATTTAAGAGGTACTATCAATGGAGAAAAGATTGAAGTTGTCAAGGACTTCATTCTTCTTGGATCAACTATCAACACTAACGGAAGCAGCAGTCAAGAGATCAGATGACGTATTGCATTAGGCAAATCTGCTGCACAGGAACTTTTTATAGTGTTGAAGAGCAAAGATGTCAGCTTGAGGACTAAGGTGCGACTGACCCAAGCCATGGTATTTTCAATAGCCTTTTATGGATGCAAAAGCTTGACAGTGAATAAGGAAGATCGTAGAAGAATTGATGCCTTTGAATTGTGGTGTTGGAGGAGAATACTAAAAGTGCCATGGACTGCCAAAAGAACCAATAGATCTGTTTTGGAAGAAGTGCAGCCAGAGTGCTCCTTGGAGGCCAAGATGGCTAAACTTCGTCTCTCATACTTTGGACATATTGTCAGGAGGAAACAGTCACTGGAGAAGGATGTCATGCTGGGTAAGGTGGAGGGTCAGAGAAAAAGAGGAAGACCCCCAATGAGATGGATTGGCCAGGTGGCATCATGGATGACGTCAAGTGTGGCAGTGGTAGTGAGGTTGGCCCAGGATCAGATATTGTTTCATTCTGCTGTGCATGGGGTCGCTATGAGTTGGTGGCACCTGACAACAACAACAACAACAACAATACTGATGGCATTGAAGGAAGAAGTTCAAGATGCAGTGAAGGCGTTGTTGAAAAAGAAGACTCTAAGAATTGATGAATTATCAATGAAGATGTTTTAAAATGGATACAACACTGAAAGTGCTTGCTAATCTATGTCAAGATATCTGGCCATATTCGTGCCCATTCCAAAGAAATGTAATACAACTAGAATGTGGAAATTATCCAACAATATTATTAATATCACATGCAAGTGCAATTATGCCAAAGTTAATTTACAAATGGTTGCAGCAGCACTTTAACAGGGAACTGCCATAAATTCAAACAAAATTCTAAAGAAGACTTGTAAGGACGATATCATTACTGGTATCAGATGGAATTTGGCATGTTCCTCCACATCTTTAAATATAATAGGTCCCAAGAGTGTTTTTATACTCCCCAGCTAAGACAAAGTGTCTACTTGCATAATAGGCCCTTCTATTTCAATTCCCAAAATCTTGTATTTATTTCACATTTTGAAGAAAGCATGAATCAGTAATTTCTGACAAACTGTTCTTCCTCCCCTTCCTCCTCCTCATGTCTCAGCTCCCTGGTGGCCACCTTAACCCTCTCCCCAGTTCCTAGTCACATTGCTTTAGTGCTGCCGTCTTGAGTATGGACTCCATTTAGACAGTTCTCAAAAGAGCAACATGCTCAAGACAGACATTTTTACTAAACTCCTGTCTGGTTTTCAGAAGACTTCAGGGGATATTTTTGGTTTTAGGTTTAACGAGTATCTCAGGGTAATTGTTGCAGTGATTCATTCATAACTCCATGACTCCTGAAAGTCTGGAGTCCTTGAGAATTGTAATCCTCTTCTGCATTTTCTCCTTTTTGATGAGGATTCTTCCATAAAATCTTTGATCAAAATGTTTAATAATGGTTGTTAGGTGCTCTTCATTTCTTCTGGTCTCCTGGCAGTTGTTCCTGGAGGCAGTTAACCACACATTTCATTTCCTTACCCTGTTCCTGACTCTCCTTCCTCTGTTACTCCAGGTAAATAGATACCAGTCGTTTGCCTTGGGTGGCTGCATGTAACCTTTTAAGTCCCCAGGCAGTGCCCAGTGAACTAGGAGGCTGAGCAGAAGCACTAACCATGTTAGGTCAATAAACTGGGCTTTCTGGTGAAACCATGATCCTAACCCTCCAAATCAAGGAAGCAGATCCATGAAGTTTTTGGTTGCACGTAAGCAGCATCAGCAGTTACACTTTTTAAAAATTGTTCTTCTTATGCTTACGTGTATCACACAACTTTTGCCAATTTAACTTTTCACAGGTATACAGCTTCTTGGCATTACTTGTGATAATTAGCTATGCAACCCTAGCCCTGATCAATGCAATTTTCCATCACATAAACTCCCTCCACCCCTTCCCTCCCACTCTTGTTGTTGTTGTTGTTGTTGTGTGCCATCATGTTGGTCCCAAATCACAGCAACCCTGTATAGGGTTTCCAAGGAGCAGCTTGTGGGTTTGAACCACTGACCTTGCAATTAGCAGTCCAGTGTTTAGTGCTTCTCCAGCAGTGCCACACCAGAACTCCCTCCCGCCCCTGGGGACCACTAATAAACTTTATATTTACTTTGTTTTATCTTTTTATATGTGAGCTCATACAATGCGTGTATTTGTCAAAGCTTTTATTCTGATTTCTAGAACTGTAAAACTTACGACAAAAAGCCTTTATGCAACCATGTCATAAGTTTCCAGTTAGACTGTCCAATAGCAGATCCTTTTGTTTTCACTGTGCATCAATTGATTAACTTTTTGTGTATTGTTAAGCAGATAATGTCTCTCATCTAGGTCTTAATTTCTCCATCTATAAGTTGATTCCTAAATTTCCTTTCAGCTTTTCAAGGTGTCTGAGTCTAGAATGTAGAGATGAGCAATGGTTTCCAAATTTTAGCAATGATTATACTGAAGAGTTTAATTACCTGCGGCTATCCAGTCATGCGCTCATGAAATGTGATTTCTTACCTGGTTTTGGTCTTTCAGCCTTATCTGAAACTCTACTGTTGGCTCCTGAATCATTGAAAGTTTCCATTGATTATAAACGTCAATGTTTGAATTTACAATGGAGCATCCACAGCCTTCTTTATCATCAGAAAGTACGAATGATTTTTCAGATAGAGATCAGCAGGATTGAAACATCCAATGTTGTCTGGGTGGTAAGTATATGTTCTTTGGCTCAGCATTTTAAAAATCTTTTTATTATGTCATGATTTGTCTGTTAACATCCAATGGAAACATTTTAGCAGCTCAGACCAATTTTCCTCAGCATCTGTGTTTTTGGCCTTTAAATAAGAGGATTCTTGACTACTTTGGTAAACACAAATCATGTTAGGGATGTACACTATCTTCTCAGTGGGCTCTGCTCTCTCTTACAGGGACTGTTGGGTCTGTCCCCATGAATACTAAAATTCAGAGGTCTCTGGGGATCAATCACCCTATTCCTTTCCTTCTTTTTTCTTTATCAGTGATTTTTCTGAAGAAGATCAAATAATTTGGCAATATTTCCCTTGCCAGTACAGCTTCTTGTCAGTTACATGACCTAAGTTAAATCAAATTCTGCTTGTAGTGTGCTGAAGGGACAATGAATTCTAGCTCTTTCCATTCCAGCAACGAAGAGTTTCCCCATGGAAATGTTGGAGAGTGGCTCACCGTGCCATTTAGTCCCTCACCAGTGGCCTTTGTTCTACTGTTAATTAATCATCTTTAATTTCACACACTTTTTGTCTTTGAATTACTTGGGAAAGATTTTTTGCTCATCTTGGCTCAAATAATGGTTGTGTCTATTTTTTCCTGATGCTTTTGCATCTACAACATCGTTGTTGTTAGTTTACATCGAATCAGTACGGACTCATAGTGACCCTGTGCACAACAGAACGAAACACTGCCGGGTCCTCCGCCAGCCTCACCATCATAGCTACGCTCGAGCCTATGGCTGCTACCACTCCGTCTAGTTGGGGGGCCTTCCTTTTTTTCTCTGAACTCCACTTTACCACGCATGATGTCTTTCTCCAGGGATTAATTTTAAAGTTTCTGTTTACTTTCTGGGAGTGTGGTGGCTCTGTAGGATAAGCACTGGAATGTGAACCACAAGGTTAATGATTTGAGTCCATCAGCCACTCCTTAGGAGAAAGATGAGTCTTTCTGCTCTTGCAAAGATTAACAGTCTCTCATCAATGAAAACATAGGGGGAAATATGAGAGCTCTAATACAGGGCATACACAGACTACCAAACATTTTGAAACTTACACCAACAAAAATAGACAAAATAAATCAATGGGACATACTAAAAATTAAAAACTTGTGTGCATCAAAAAACTTCATCAAAAGAGTAAAAAGGGAGCCCACAGAATGGGAAAAAAAAAATCTTTTGCAATGACACATCAGACAAGGGACTAATTTCCAAAATATATAGGAACCTATAACACCTCTACAAGAAAAGGACAAATAACCAAGTTAGAAAATGGGCACAGGATACGCACAGACACTTCACCAAGGAAGAGATCCAGACAGGCAACAAACATATGAAGAAATGTTCACAGTCACTAGCCATTGTTGTTGTGTTGTTAGGTGCTGTCAGAGAGATGTAAATCAAAACAACAATGAGATATCACCTCACACCAGCAATAATAGCAAAGATCAAAAAAGTAGAGGACAGTAAATGTTGGCAAGAATGTAGAGAGACTGGGACCCTCCTACATTGTTGGTGGGATTGCAAAATTGTTCAAGCACTCTGGAAAACAATATGGCGCTTCCTCAGAAGGTTGAAAATAGAGCTAGAGATACCTTATGATCCAGCAATTCCTCTACTTGGTATTTATCCACAAGAAATATGAGCCATAACACGAGTAGATATATGCACATCAATGTTCTTAGCAACACTATTTACAATAGCAAAAAGATGGAGACAACCTAAGTGCCCATCTATGGAAGAATGGATAAACAACTTTGGTACATACACACAATGGAATATTATGCTACCCTGAAGAATCACAAGGAAGCAGCAAGCCACTGCATAACATGGATGAACCTTGAGGACATTATGCTGAGTGAAATTAGTCAGTCACAAAAGGAGAAATACGGCATAGGACCATTATTGTAAAAGCTTAAGAAAAAGCACCCACACTAAAAGGGAAGAAAAAAAATTATCTTTAAAAATATATATTATTATTATTTTGTTGTTGTTAGTTACCAGGGTGTATGGGGTGGGGTGAAGGGGAGGGAAGGGAAGGTGGAGCACAGGGCAGGGAATAGACACAGGATAGTTTGGGTGCGGGGGGAGGGGGGGCATACACTAGAAGGGGAAAGGGAAAGAAAAAATAAGGCGGATGGGAAAATAGCTAGGCAGGTTTACATGGGCTAAAAATGGGACAGATGTAAATGATGATGTAATCATAACCATGGAACAACAGGGCTCGTGAATACAAAGATTGAGGCATGATTTGAATGGGTAAAAGTGGGGAAATGATGTTAAGATGCTTGGCTGTCTTTTGAATCTTGGTTTCCCATGCCTTCTATTGTAAAATGGACACTTGAAGGGGAGACAGAGGAATACCTTAGAAACATCACCAGAGAAAGCTTGTAAGTCTGTCTTCTGCCTATAACTGATTGGAATATCTAAAATGGGGCCACAACGTGCCCAGTGAAGGAAGCTTCTTGCGGAGCCTTTGCATTGCACAAGACCATAGGTGGAATCCTGATCCTCATCCAGAATCTTCTGAGGTGGGTCATTTCCACTTGAAAGGACAAGCAAACCAGTCTCCAGCAGCTAGCAGAACAGAAGATACTTCTTGAAAGAAAGACCAGCAGGAAAAATCAAAAACAATAACAGCAGTCTAATTGACTACTACAAGAACAAGCAAGTTGATTGCCCAGGAGACATCAAGGCAAGTGTCGGGTCCCCTCAAAGCAAACCCCTTCCAAGACTGAAACTTAAATGGAATACACTAGCAGACATATAGTCCTGCTGCTGCCCACGTTGGTCACCGATAAGGGGAATTGGGGGAAAAACAGCAATGAAGTTGTGAGTTAAGTCCGACCACATTCAATAGACTCCTGTTAACTTGGATTGAGATCAGGTACCAGCAGTATGACGAGACCTGGAGACTCCTGGGCCCAGAGGCAGGGACATGACCCCAGAGGACTAGAATGGAGTGTGAAGCATCCAGCTGATATGAAGTGAGGTGAGATGCACAAGAACACCCACACTTGCAGATAGTGCAGATAGTACCTATTTGACTTGGAATCAATGGCTAGATGATCAGAACACGACTAGAAGAGGAAAGAAAAAAAAAAGGATTAGCCCACTACAAGTGAATGAATGACCCATGTTTGTGGATGTAGTATGATAAAGGAGCGGACAAATCTTTACAGTGAGGATCATTCCCACCCCCATGGTACACAGGGTCAACAGGGATGGGGAACTTAGACATTGGCTACCCAAAATGGGGAGACTACAAAGGTGCTCTGGTAGCGTAGTGGTTACAAATCGGGCTGTGAACCTCAAGGTCAGTAGTTCGAAACTACCAGCAGTTCTGCAGAAGAAAGATGAGGCTTTCTGCTCCCGTAAAGATTTTACAGCCTCGGAAACCCTGTTCAGGGTCTCTATGGGTCGGAACCGACTCAATGGCACTTAACAACATCAACAACAATAAAGGCAAGAAGTGACTGGCTGACAAGCTTTCAATAGGGAACCTAGCTCCAGAGGATACAGGGAAAGGTAGAACCTCCACTGAATTGTTTCCAACCTGTCTGGATGGGGTTAATAAAAGGTGAAGGGGAAAGGACTCCTGTGGTTCAATAGGGAATGATTGCTATCAGGTCTGACAGTGAGTGTTGGAAAGGTAAATGTAAATGTTTTGTAACAAAAGGAGGGAAGTGGCTGATTTTGCAGTCCAGGAGCAGAAAATCCCTGGAAACATCAAGGGAGGAAGTAAAGCGAAGTGCAGGACCCTGTCTGGAGAGACAGTGACCACTAGGGATGGAGGTAGAGATGATAATGTAGAGAGAAGGAGCGGCTGGGGACTTTGGACTCAGGGAGGGAGAGGGGCTGTGGGCTGGTGGTGGGGGCAGGCAAGCGGGGTGTACCCTTTGGTTGTTTGATGATGCATACAGGGGATTGTGATCATTGCAACGAAACAAAATAAGATAGGATGAATGTAAAGATAATGTCCACCCATGTAAACGAACACAAAATTCACAATAAAAACTTAAAAAAAAAAAATGATGAACAGTCTCAAAACCCTGGTACAGGGACACTATGAATTGGAACCGACTCCAAGGCACTTAACAACAATAGCTACTTTCTAGTTTCCACACTCATTATCGAATGCTAACTGTTGATTTAGCTTGAGTACCGCTTCAATAGTTCTACCGCTGTGGGCAGTCTTCCATAGAGAGTTGATTCATGTTCTTCTTATCTTACACAACAGCGATGCTTGCGCACAGGTAGCTGTTCCTACTCTACCATCAGCTCATGTGTGGACCCTCTCACTCATCTGTCTCCCTTTTATATTTTTGTTGGATGCCCTGGTTGGTGGTTTGATGTTGTTGTTGATAGAGCTCAGTAAAATATTAAGCAAAGGTCATTTTGAGACTTAGTATCACCAAAATAAATAAATGTTAGGGAAGTATTAGAAGAATTGGTAGAAATCTAGTGTGTTAGCACCATTAGAGAAAATAACTACCCATAGATCAAGTTGACCTCCCTCAATAAGTATCTAAAGACTGTTCGTTTCTGGTTCATGTAATTATCCTCTTCACAAGATAAAGTAGTTGTGGTCTCCATTTGTATAGTAGACTAGGGTTTAAGATCATTCAAAGTAGAGGTAGCTTTTTTGTTTTCTCTCGCTCTTTTAAAATATTTATTGTGGTGATATACAGATAAGAAAACATTGCCTTCTCAATCCTTGCTGGTTCCTGAAAGACATGCGCCCCCTTGTGGACACAGAAGCTTCCTGTTGTCAATCTTCCCAGACCTTACCCTCTGCATTTCTTCTTGGTGCTGATCCTGGTTTGTGTCCTTGATAAAAAGGTGTACTCATTTCATTTTGCAAGATGACAGAGTAGGCAGACACACTCCCCTGTACAACAAAGCCATAAAAAACCACTTCTCTGTGTACAATTCAGTGATGCTAATTATATATTAGTCACGTTGCACCACAGTGTCTATAATACGTTTCAAAATGTTTTTCCATCATTAACAAAAATCGGAGCATAGAGTTTATCCTTATTTGTTACATTGTTCTCTCCACTCCCCTTACCAACACCCAGTGCAGGTGAGACTGCGACAGATGAGGAAACCGAGGCACAGAGAGCTAGCATGATGTTATACTTCACCGCAGATCCAGAGAGGTGGGAAAACCCCCTGCAGCCTCCCGAATATCAGTGGCCGTGTGTCACACAGGGTAGACAGTGTCACAAGAAACCCTCCTCTGAATTCTCAGGCCTGAAGTTGAAGGAGAGAGACAAGGTCTCCCTCCAACAGGATAAAACTGGGAGAGACAACTCTGACTCTTAGCGACCCCACATGTGTCCGAGTAGAACTGCAACTCATAGGGATTTAAGTGGCTGAGTTTTCAGTAGGAGATTGCCAGATCTTTCTTCTGAAGTACCTCTAAGTAGATGCCCACTACCAAGTTTTTGGTTATCAGCTGTTTGCTCAACCCAGGACTGTGACGCTGAGAAAGGGAGTCGGGAATGCCGCTTAAGCTTTTGTTTGTACCACAGTCTCCCTTTGTAAAGAAGTTCCTTACATGAGAGGGGCAGCTCTGACACACAACGCAGTTCTGAAACATGCCAGAGGAAAAGCATCTCATTCTAGGTGTTTCCAGCTAGAACAGGGATACTGAAGTGTCTTCCAGTAGTCACTTGCTGCTCCAAGCTGGCCAACACCTCCTGGTCCTGCCACAGGCTCAGGGTCTGCCCTCCCTTTCAGCTACTTGCTTTGTGATTTTGTCAAGGGCGGAATGTGTTGGCAGAGACTGAAAGTCAAGCATGGAAGGAGGCCTGGAGCGTGAGTCAGATGAGGGATACAGCTCCTGACTCAGGAACCGCCATGACCTCAGCAGATGTCTATGTAAATGCATGTGCCAATTTCTTGTGAATTACTCATATCGGAAAAGGTTAAATTAAACTTCTACTCCAATTGATGAAAACAGCCCAAAGACAATTTGTCACATTAAGGAAAACAAAAAACCCTTTAAATCAGTACATTCAAAGAAAATTTTATCTCTGCATTGTGAACCACGAGGTCAACAGTTCAGTTCCACCAGCTACTCGTTGCTCTGAGTCAGAACCAACTCAACTACACTTAACAAAAAGACCAAAAAAGGACAATTTGAGGATAGACAGAATCCACACCAAGGAAACTTACTTCATAGTAATGGATTGAGATTTCTGATAGGGGGCCTACATCCAAGCAGTTTTTATGTATTGTATTTATATATTATTTGTCATACCGTGGTGGCTTATGTGTTGCTGTGATGCTTGAAGCTATGTCACCAGTATTTTAAATACCAAGAGGGTCACCCATGGTGGACAGGTTTCAGCTGAGCTTCCAGACTAAGACAGACTAGGAAAAAGGAGAGGTGGACTGCTTCTGAATATTTACCCACTGAAAACCTTATGCATAACAGCAGAACATTGTCAGATGCAGTGCCAGAAGATGAGCCCCTCAGGTTGGAAGGCACTTAAAGTATGACTCGGGAAGACTGGCGAGGAGCTGCCTCCTCAAAGTAGAGTTGACCATGAGGAGTCAAATGGAGCACAACTCAAACGGAGGAGAAACAGCTGAAACATCTATTAATAATCAGAATATGGAATATATGGAGTATCAATCTAGGAAAACTAGGAATTGTCAAAGATGAAATGGCATGCTTAAGGTTCATTATCCAAGGTATTAGTGAGCTGAAGTGGGCTGGTATTGGTCATTTTGAATCAATCAAATGGTTTAGTATGCTGAAAATAAAAATTTAAAAGAAACAGTACCACCTTCATTGTCCAAAAGAGCATTTCAAGATCTACCTTGAAGTACAATATCTGTGATAGGATAATATCCACACACCTATAAGAAAGACCAGTTACTAATACTTTATTTGAATTTGCGCACCAACCGCTAAAGCCAGTGGTGGTGAAATGGAGGAATTCTACCCATGTCTTCAGTCTGCGATAAAATACCAGTGGCCTGGCTCCCAGCATCACAGCAATACTCACCCCCTCACAGTAGACAGACTGACAGATGAATGGTGGATCTCCCAGCTGTGGAGAAAAGAACAAACAGGAATGAGATGCTCTGGGGTCTGGGGGACTGGAGAGGTAGTCTGAGAAGCAAGAGTGACTGGACCTAAGGAGACGTAGAGAAGAGTGAAGCACAGCCCTGCTCTCTTGGCATGAAGCTTACAATCAAGCATGCTATCCCATCAGTCACTTTGTTGGCAACAGCAGCATATAACATGCTGGAAGCTATATCATCAGTATGTCGAATACTGGCAGGCTCATGCTTGCTGGACAGGTTTCATTGGAACTTCCGGACTAAGACTAAAAAGAAAGGCCTTGTAATCTATGTCTGAAAATTAGCTTATGAAATCCTATGAATCCTAAAGGAACATTATTTACTTTAGTGCTAAAAGATGAGTTCTAATATACTACTAGTGAGTATTAAAGACCACGGCCTTCAGTATGGATTACAACTCAGTATAAAGAAAACTGAAATCTTCACAACTAGACCAATAAACAGCATCTGGAAAAACAGAGAAAATATTGAAGTGGTTAAGGATTTCATTTTACATGCATCCACAGTCAATTCTCACAGAAATCAAATGACATATTGTATTGTGCAAATCTGCTGAAAAGATCTCTTGAAAGTGTCAGATAGGCAAGGTGTCACTTTGAGGACAAAGGTGTGTCTGACCCAAGCATGGTATTTTCAATCATGTCATCCGCATATGAAAGTTGGACCATGAAAGACTATAGAAGAATCGATGCATTTGAATTATGGTATTGGTAATGAATATTGAATGTACGATGGACTGCCAGAAGAACAAACAAATCTTTCTTGGAACCAATTCCCAGTGCAGAGGTGGCCTGGGGACACTGTGTTGAGGATACACTTAGGTGTCGAATCAGAATGAACAGTCCAGAAATATGTCGTAGCGAAGATTCCTGTAGGGGAAAACTAGCAGAAATCACTCTGCAGAGAGAGATAAGAGGCAGATCACGGAGGACCCTGAGAGACAGGGTACAGTGCAAAGGAATCCTGAAGGCACAGAATTAGGGAACGGGAAAGTCAATGTCTCGGAAAGATTAAGACCAAAAAAGACAGGCCTATTAAGTGAACGATGACAGCTGGGAGGAACGTGCTCCTCAGAGTAGTCAAGTACATGAGACCAAAACATCAACAAAGTTAGGAAGGCGGAACGGGGCAGTGGGACCCAAGATGGCCATGCAGGGAGTGCTGACGTGTTGTGGGGACTGCATACAGTCATGGAACAACCTGTGTGTAAACGGCTGGGTGGGAAATGAATTTGCTCTGTAAAGTTACACCAAAACCACAAAAGATATATATATTGTTGTTGTTGTTAAGTACCGTGGAGTCGGTACTTAACCCTGCACAAGGTTTCCGAGGCTGTAAATCTTTACGGGAGCAGACCGCCTCATCTTTCTCCCGGGGAACCGCTCGTAGTTTCGAACTGCCGGACTGCAGCCCAATTCGTAACCACTACGCTACCAGAGCTCCATATATATATACATATATATACTTTTTTTTTTTTTTTTAAGTCAAAAGCCTGTACTGAAAGACTAAATTTTACAGTCAGACTTGGACAGGCTTCCCAGAGAACAGAGTCAGACATTCCTGGGTGACTGACATCTGAGAGCTTAAGATTCTGACCCGAGAGCCTCTGGGGAGTGGTCTGGTCCTTGTGGCCACTAGTATGAGAAGAGGTGGGAGTCTGGGAGACACTCAGTTTCTGCATGACGGTGGGACTCAGAGCATGTCATGAAGGGCAGTCCTTTTCTGATGACAGTGGGTCAATCTGATGTGACCCTGGCTAAAAATAAATCGAAAAAATACCCATCAACCTGACTAATTTTTTAAAGATTGACTCAGTTTTCTTAGTATTGTTTTAGTGCTGTTGTGTCGGTTCCAACAACAGAATAAAACACTGCTTGGTCCTTTCTAGTTTATTAACATTTTTTGTAGTAGGTTCTGTGTGACCAGCACTATGAAAGTCTCTGTAAGGAACCAAATACTTTCTGTCTCTGACCTCGTCTCCTAAGACCTGTGTAGCTTCTGTTTTCTCTACCACTTCCTTGAGCCCCCTGAGACTCACGCATCTCTTAGTGTGACATGCTCCCGTGGCTTGCATACTGCTATGAAAGCGATGTGACCAGTACATCAAATACCAGTAAGCACACTCACAACATTTGTATGGTTTCTAGGCTAAGATTAGGAAGAAAAACTTGGAATCTGCTTCTGAAAACCAGTCAATGAAAACCCAGTGGACTAACACATTACCTGGTAACAGTGCTGACGATGAGCCCCCTAAGTTGGAAGGCTTTCAAAATACGCAGTTGCTCCCCCCGTGGACTCAAACATACCTACAGATGATCGTAAAGATGGCACAGGGCTGGCAGTGCCTTGTTCTGTTGTACAGTGGGGTCATCCTCAGCTGGAGCTGACTTGATGGCACCTAACAACAACAAGGGATTCCCAGGAGAATTCTAGAGGTCACAGGTTATGGCTGCCTCCCTGGGAGCTGACCAGTTCAGTATAGACCGCACTTACAACATGAAACACTTACACAGTGTCATAGGTTTAGACTTTGATAATATCCAGGAGCAGATGTTTCCAGATTCTCCCTTTTACTTCTAGGGGAACTACAGTACCACCGTGAAATCGAACCAAGTTCTGCATTGGAGCTGGGAATCTGAGCTTCCTTTGGAATGTGTGACACACTTCGTAAGAATCAGGAGTGCCGTGGATGATGCTGAGTTTCTGGAATCAATGCCCTGGAGCACATGGAGTGCCTGGGAGAAAGTGGATGGTAAGAAGTGAGGCGGTTTAACAAGTAAAATGTGTTCACATGTAATAGTACTTGGGGATCAAGAGATTCCTGCAGAGTGACAGGCGTGAGTGTGAAACTTGCCGCTAGGTTTTACCTCTAAATCCGTTCACTGAGACAACTATGCAGATTCTGAAAGTGATGGATGCCTTCCAAATGTATAAAGTGTGTTAATTGTGGTAGTGGTGTGCCGTGGAGTCAGTTCTGACCCATAGCAACCCTGGATAGGGTTTCTGAGGCTGTGAATCTTTACGGGAGCAGAGAGCCTCATCTTTCTCCCACGGAATAGCTGGGAGTTTCAAACTGCTGATCTTGAGATTAGCAGCCCAACTCGTAACCACTACACTACCAGAGCTCCTTATCCTAGGCACCAGTGATGCAATTCACATTAATTGTAGTACAATTAATAAACTAGCACAAAATGTTTCATGTTAGTGTTAAGTACCATCAAGTAGGTTCCAACTCATAGCAACCCTCTCTATGGTTTCCAAGGAGCAGCTGGTGAGCTTGAACCACCAATCTTGCAGTTCAAACCAGCTTTCTGGTCCAGTGCCTATCCTATAGCGCCACACCAGGACTCCCAGTTGCATCACAGGTGTCAGGAAAATGTTCTATAAGGAATCAGAGAGTAAATAGTGTAGGCTTTGAGGTTCTCTGTCAAGATGATTTCACTCTGCCAGTGTAATGGCAAAGCAGCCACAGACAATATGAGCACAAAATGAGTGTGGCCTTGTTCCAATAAAACTTTATTTACAAAACCAAGTGGTAGCAACAGTAATCTAGAGGAAGAAGAGTCCTGACGGTACAGCAGTTAAGCACGTGCCTGTGAACTGCAAGGTTAGGAGTTCAAATCCTTAGGAAATGACGTGGGGATCTGCTCCAGTAACCATGACAACCTAGGAAACCCTCGTAGACAGTTCTGCCCTGTCACATGGGGTTGCTCTGAATCCACATCCACTCGAGGCACTTAAGAAGGGCAACAATCGAGAGAGAAGAGTAAAGAGACGATGGACAGATATCTTTTAAATCGTCTTGTTAAGGATATTTCAAAATTTTTGATAATTGAAGTTTGGTGTAGCTACAGTTTACAGTGGGTTTTGCCATCCGTTTTGGAACTCCAGCTAAGCTTCTTAACCGAACCACTTGCTGTTGATTTGATTCCCACTTAAGCTCCACAGGGCTTTCAGGGACTGTCCTTTCAAATCCAGGCCTTTCCACTGCCTGCCTGCCTTTGGGTCGATTTGAATCTCCGGTCTACGGTTAACAGCCAAACTCATTAACCCTTTGCACCACTGTGACTCCATTTTAATGACTGTTTTAAACACCGTAAGACCAGAACCAAATTTGTTCCGACTTCTGTGTCAGAGTAGAACTGTTCTACAGGGTATTCCTGGCTTGAAGCAAAAGTCCAGACCTTCCATAGTCCCCTTGGATGGGTTTGAACTGGAAACTTTTAGTTGAGTGTAGACCGTTTGTACCCCATGTTATTGTCGTTATATGTTGTTGAGTTGGCCCTGACTTTATACACAACAGAATGAACACAGCTTTAAGCATTGGCGGTGCTGATTTTGTGACATGGAGTCAGTTCCAACTCATAACAGCTCTGCATAGGGTTTCCAAGGGTATATAAATCTTTATGGGAGCAAAATGCCTCATCTTTTTCTCATGGAGAGGCTAATACATTCAAACTGCTGACCATGTGGTTAGCATCCCAGCTTATAACCCACTATGCTACCCGGTATCCTTTTGAAGCAGTATAGCTATTCAGTTATCCCTTCTATCACCTGTGCTAAATCTGTAATATTATTATCCCCATTTCATAAAGGAGAAAATTGAGGCAGAGAATAAGGTCATCAAAGATACCAAGAGGTGGAGCCGGCGTCCATCTCAGACAATCTAGGTCCCAGGGCTCACCCTTAGCCATCACATCCTACTGCTGAAAGAGAGACATGCGTACAGAGAAAATAGAGATTACAAAGATAGTAAGAGAGAGGGGGGAAATAACATTATAAACAATGCTAATAAAATAGACGTCTAAAAATGATATCTTCAAATCTGACTTAAGAGTAAGAGGAAAACCTGAATAGTCTTTAGTCACCAAAGCACAGATGCTCAGTCTTGGTTGCACATTATAATTACCTGTGGTTAGTACTGTTCTTGTTAAGCATTGTCTAGTCGGTTCTGACTCATAGTGACCCTATATAGGGTTTCCAAGGATTGGCTGGTAAGTTTGAACCACCAACCTTGCAGTTCACTCAATTTTCTCCTTTATGAAATGCGGATAATAATCGATCTTTCAGTCTAGCAATTATCCTACAGCGCCACACCAGGACTCCCAGTAGAATTTTAAAAACAAACTTGCTCTAGCCATACCCCATGGGGGCAGTTAGTGATGGCACCTCCTAGCCCATTTTTACAGCCCAATTTGGTATGAGTGAGGAGAAACCTTCAGACTGACCTTCTGAACTGCAGATTTGGGACTTGGCAGCCTCCACAATTGTGTGGAGAATGCTGTGGCTGTGTAGGATAAACAATGGACTGCTAGCCACAGGTCTGTGGTTCAAACCCACCAGCTGCTCCACAGGAGAACAATGAGGCTGTCTGTTCCCATAAAGCTTTACAGTCTCAGTTGGAAACGCTATACAGCATCTCTGTGAGGGGGAGCCACATGACAGCACTTAGCGACAATAATGGTGTGGACTGTTTCCTTGACAGTTGGTGAGTTCTGTGAGATGCTGCATCTTATTGCAGAACCCTGGGGCACAAGGGAGGGAAGAGTGGTGATTGGTCTCAGAAATTAATGGAAAAGTCAGACATTTGGGATACCTGTAACCTCCACTTCATAGGGATTGTTGTTGTTGTTAAGTGCCATCCAGTCGATTCCGACCCACAGTGACCCTGTATGGGGTTTCCAAGGAGTGACTGGTGAGCTTGAACCGCCAACCTTGCAGTTCAAACGGCTTTGCAGTCCGGCACGTTAACCCACAGCGCCACACTAGGACTCATGTTAATCCTTCTAAGAGAAGTCGTTCTTGTGGTTGAGGCCAGCAGCCAGATTGCAGTGGGCTGAGGAGGGCTAAGAGAGGCTGAGGCCTGACTGCAGGCTGGGCAGCTCCTCCAGGTAAGCTGATACAAGAAGGGTTCTCCGGGAAGGGATGGGGAGATGGTGGGTTTGTTTAAAAAAGTAGTTTCTTACATCAATGAGAAACTTGTGGGAGACGGTAGAAATCCTTGGGTGTCATGAAGAACAACCCACTTCTGCTGAGATTGGGCCAACCTCATCTGACCATGGCTGAAAATAAGCATAAAAATACCCATCGATCTTGCTGATTTTCGAAAGGATGGCTTCATTGATGCTCTGATTTGTAGGAATCTTCGTAGCAGGTTGAAACATCAGGTATTTGAGTGGTTGGCATTTCTAAGAAGGTGGGAAGAGATGTGATCTGTTACAGTACAACGTAGAGGTCACGAGGGACACTTGACTTTGGGGATGGGGAAACATGGCTTTGCCACATATCAGCTCAGCAAGTTTGGGCTCATTCCTGCCTGTCCTGAGGTCATAAGAGTGCCATGAGAGGATGTGTGTGAGCACTAATCAAGGACTTAACAGAAAGCAGCTACTGTTATCATAGTAACTTTTACTATGTGACCTTTAGTAACCTTTACATAGTAACCTTTACTAACTCGCTGCCGTCCAGTGAGTCCAACTCACAGTGACCTCAGACAGCCAGTGTTGTAACAACAGCAGCAGTGATATTAGCATAGCAGTAAACAACGTGATGGACAGGATCTGTGTTGTCTTGTTTTGTTTAATGAGCACTGACGTTTATGGGTTTGATGCAGAGGTTGAGGCTCCTCAGGCAGGAGGCAGAAGTTTAAGGCAGCTGCTGATGCTGAGTAAGGTGGGAGGCAGTGATTTGAATTGTGACTGAAATTCTCACCGAGCTCTTTCCTTTCCTTCTTTCTTTAACGTACAGCAGTCCAGGATTCTCTTGGGCCTGGTCAACTCTTCATTTACCCCCAGGACAAATTGATGGAAGAAGGTTCCAGTGTCACCATATGTTACATATCTAGAAGTGAGAGTAAAATAAACTGTTATTTGCATGGCCTCAGGATCCATGGAGAACAACTTACTCCAAATGTATCCACATTCACCTTGCGAAGTCTTCCCTTTATTAAGAAAACAGGGACAAATTTCTATTGCAACACAGAGCATGACAAGCTTCTAAATGGCACCGTTCTCTATGTATCAAGTAAGTTTACCAATTCTCCATGGCCCTGTCCAGGTTTCTTGTGAGAAACAATGTGCTCGAATCACCTTTACCGGAAGACAAGCAAATATTTCCACTCAATGGCTTTGATTTACTTTTGCTTTCCAAGTCCTCTAGCAGTGACTCTGGAAACGTTTTCTTGAAGTATGGCTCCCAAGATTTCCGACTGGCTTCTAAACCAACAGTATGACAGAAGAGAAAGCTCCGGCATGACCTGAGTCACAGGAACACACCCTGCTCTGCCTTGTTGTTGTGGTGTGCAGTCCAGTCGGTTCCACCTCACAGTGGCGGTACATGATAGAGTCCAGCTGTCCTACTTCTTGAGTAGCTGACCCCATGCCAATTCGGATTCGAGCACAGTGGCCCAACAGTGTGAGAAGCTCACAAGGAGAGTTATGGGAGAGTGGGATTGGCTCAGCTGCTCAAGATGGAAAGAAACAAGCTTCCAGACAGGGCTTCAACACTGGGATCACACAGCCTTGGAAGAAATGCTATTTTATTGTGCACGCTAACTCGGCAGGCAAACTCAGGCTCTCACTAGTCCTTGGAACTCTCAGTCTGGGACTCAGTTTGTCAGAGTCACACAGTCTGGCTGATTTTCTAACATTGTAAGCATAAACTGCAGCATCTGGAAACCAGACAACACTGCTCTATTTCTTCATCTGTCCATCCATTTTAGCACTATTCATTGAGTGTCTGCTAGCAGGCATCGTGGACACAACCTTACAAAGTCTCTCCATTTCCTGCCTGTTGCTGTGTAGGCTTCCACCTCAGCGATCCTTGGGGTGTTCAGGGTAATTTGGCCTCGGGCCCCCAATAGAACTTCCCTGTTACCTACTTGGTTTCCTAGGACTGCAAGTACAAATCACTACAAACCTGGTGCTTAAAACGACTGCTCTGTGTTTATTCTATCCCCGTTATGAAGGCAGTTGTTTCTGCTACAGCTGCTGTGTGCTGTGGAATCGGTTCTGACTTACAGTGACCCTGTACAGGGTTTCCAAGGCTGTAAATCTTTACGGGAGCAGAAAGCCTCATCTTTCTCCTGCGGAGTAGCTGTTGGATTCAAACTGCCGACCTTGCTGTTAGCAGCCCAACATGTGGCCCATTACACTACCAGAGCTTGTTATGGAGGCTAAAAACTGATATCAAGGTGCCCTTTGGGTCACCGCCCTCAGAACACTCAAGGGAAGGCTTCTTCCTTGCTTACTAGTCCTGGTGGCTTCGGTAGTGTTTGCATTTCTTGGATTATAGCTTCATTGATCCAGTGTGACCATCCTCCATGTGTGTTTCCTCTGTGGTGTTTCTCTGAGAGTGGTGGCGAGTTTTCATCTCTCATACTTGAGACATGTTACTAGGAAGGACTCATCTCCACTGAAGGACATCATGCTGGGTAAAGTGGAGGATCAGCAAAAAAAGCAGAAGACCCCCAGAGAGATGGGTTGACACGATAGCAGCTGCGATGGGTTAAAATACAACAAATATGAGGATGGTGCAGGACACAGCTGTGTTTCATTGTTGTACATTGGTTTACTATGAGTCAGAACCGACTTGACGGCATCTAACAACTAAGCCAGTATGACCTCACCTTAACTTGATTACATCTATACAGACCCTATTTCCAAATGAAACACATTCACAGGTCCTGGAAGCTGTTGGTGTTAGGTGCCATCAAGTCTGTAATTGTACACAACGGAACTAAACACTGCCCAGTCCTGTGCCAATCTAATCATCATTGCTATGCTTCAGTCTGTTGCTGCTTTGTTGTTGTTGTTGTCAGGTGCCATCGATTTGGAACTGACTCATAGTGACCCCATGCACAGCAGAACGAAACAATGTCCGATCCTAGGCCAACCTCACTACCGCTGCCACACTTGAGTCCATCAATGATGCCACCTGGCCAATCCATCTCATTAGGGGTCTTCCTCTTTTTCTCTGACCCTCCACCTTACCCAGCATGACATCCTTCTCCAGCAACTGTTCCCTCCGGACAATATGTCCAAAGTATGAGAGATGAAGCTTAGCCATCTTGGCCTCCAAGGAGCACTCTGGCTGCACTTCTTCCAAAACAGATCTATTGGTTCTTTTGGCAGTCCATGGCACTTTCAGTATTCTCTTCCAACACCACAACTCAAAGGCATCAATTCTTCTACAAGCTTCCTTATTCACTGTTGCTGTTACCATGGGGTAATCCAAGTTGGGGGAGGGGGGCCTTCCCTTCATTTTATTAAGAATGATGACCTTCTCCAGGGATTGGTCCCTCCTCATAATATGTCCAAAGTATGAGAGCCGAAGTCTGGCCTTCCTGGCTTCCAAGGAGCATTCTGGCTGTACTTCTTCCAACACAGATCTGTTTGTTCTTTTGGCAGGTCATGGTACTTTAATATTTTCCTCCAACACTATAACACAAATGCATCAATTCATCTACTATCTTCCTATTCATTGTCCAACTTTCACATGTATATGAAGCTGTTGAAAATGTCATGGTTGGGGTTGGGCACAATTTAGTCCTCATACTGACATCTTTGCTCTTGAACACTTTAAAGAGGTCTGTGCAGCAGAAGTTGTTGTTGTTGTTGTTAAGTGCTGTCAAGTCGATTCCAACCCATAGCAACCCTGTATAGGGTTTCCAAGAAGCAGCTGGTGAGCTTGGACCACCGACCTTGCAGTTCAAACGACTTTGCAGTCTGATGCATTAACCCACAGCACCACACTTCAGCCCACTAACTGCACTGCTAACTGCAAGGTAGGTACCTCAAACCTACCAGCTGTTCTCAGAAACCCTATACAAGAGTGCCATGAGATGGCTCCAACTTGATGACATAGAACAACAACTTATTTATCTTTAAATAACGGGACTTAACCAGGTCTTTCTTCTACTTATTGATGTTTTCATTTTTTTACATTTTTATGTGAATGGACAGAAGTACTTGAGGAGCCCAAGAACTTTTCTTGTGAAACCCAGGACTTGAAGACTTTGAACTGTACTTGGGATCATGGGCATGACACACGTTTGGACATACAGCCTTTCCAACGCTACACTTTATTTGAATCGTAAGTCAGTTATAGGCGTATCATTGATAGATTTCAACCTTCATTGTTTCAGGTATCAGTGACAACACAGCAAAAGCTGCATTTTGATGATGCAGAAAATTTTCAAATGTCTCAAAACCAATCTGCCGTTGGTCACAAGTGTGCAATACCTTCTTTCTGAATCTTGTTAAAGTGATATGTGACCAAAAGAAAAAAAATAAGAAAGATAGAAAGGTAGCTGGTGGTCCAACATGATGTGAAAATATCTCCATCTTATGGTTTGGGTCTACTTAAGTCTCTGACTCTCTCTGAGTATTCAAAGTTAAATCAGAGGGTTTTCTCATAATAATGAATGACTCAGGGTTTCCATGTTCAATATACAAACATTCACAATTTACATATGTAACCCCAAAAATCAAATTTCTTGAAATGGTATTTTCTTTGTTGGACTTTGGAGGTGGTGGCTTCATGCTGTTGTGTGAGACCTGGCATGAAAGTCATTGAGTGTGCCCCAAGGTTAAGTAGACTCTGTAATTGTTTCTTTGTTTGTTTAAAGATTCTCCCAAGAAAAGAAAGATTGTGAAAAACTAAACTGGTGCACTTGGCAAGTACGTCAAGATTCCCAAGAAATGTATAACTTCACACTTGTGGCTGAAAACTATCTGAGGAAGAGGAGCGTCAATCTTGATTTCACATTGACTCATCGAGGTGAGTCTAGAAGTCTCCTCACCCAAGGTGTCATGGACAAATCTTTGTTTGACGTATCATGTGACCAAGTGAAATGTTCTGTAAGGTTTTGTCTCATTTCATGTAGAAGTGTAAGTTGTCATTTAAGGTTTGAGTAGAAGATTTTAACTCTCTCATACCACATTTTTCATGCATGTCTAGGACATATTTGTTTGCTTTTATTCTATTTGGGGTATTTATATCTTGAGCTTCTTGAATCTGTAGTAATGTCGTTCTCCAAGTTTGGGGACTATTTTGGGTGAATTATTTTTAGAACTGTACTTTTTTCTCCTCTCTTTCTAAGACTCCAATGATACAGATGTTAGAGCATCTGCTACTGTCTCAAGAATCTCTCTGAGGCTTTGTTCATTAAAAAAAAAAAAAAAATCCCTCTATCCTTCTTTATCTAGATTGGGTAATTTGTATTGATTCTTCATTTAGTGCATTGACTCTTCTGTTATTTGTGCCCTGCTATTGATTCTTCGAAGGGTTCTGCTACAATCCTCCAACTATGGGTTGCTTCGCCAAGGCCTGATGCCCCTCTGCAATCCCCTCCACCTTTGGTTTCATTTTAAGAGCTCTCATGTAGTTCAGAGTTTGTAATATAATCACTTCGAGAAATGGGCTGCCTTGCCTAACTGTATTTTGACTGTAAGTCTGGATTGTGGACCATGTTTCTCAAACATTTTCATACAAAAAAAAAAAAAAAAAAAACCACACAAAAACCCAAAAAACTTGTTGAATAAATACATGAGTAAATGAACTCCCTATTTGCCAAAGTCTTTTTGGATATGCACTTGAATTTTCTTTTTCTTTTCTTGTGATTTGTTGACAGTTCACCCAATGTCTCCCTTTAATTTCTTCCATAAGAATGTAAATTCCACAAGTGCCGTTGTGACCTGGCAGGTGCACCCCATTGGGAGGTCACACACACTTTTGTGTCAGGTGGAACTCCATCATGATGGACACGTGATACAAGTAAGAGCTGGATTTCCTAATTTGTCTAGAATTTGATTTTTCCTAATTTGTCCAGAACAGAGAGATTGCTTGGAGTGAGATCTCTTCCAACTGTTATTCTCGAGTGTATTGTATGGCGTGGATCATCTTTTTTAAAAGGTCCATGAAATGAATCATAGACTTTTAGAGTTGTGAGAAGTTGTTCAGAGATTTACTCTTTTCAGAGTCTTACTTCAAATTAGACTTGGCCAAGGAGTCCTGGTGTGGCGCTGTACCACAGACACTGGACCACAAAGTCAGTTTGAACTGTAAGGTCAGCAATTCAACCCACCAGCCACTCCTCAGAAGCTCTATACAGAGTCGCCATGAGTCGTAACTGACTCAACAGCACTTAACAATAACAGCAACAACATTGTCTTAACTGGCTTTCAGTAAGTAAGGTCTGCTCACCAATTTTTCTTTAAATATGCTTTATTTTTATTGCTTTTGTTATTGCTGCTGAAAATCTACCTGGCAGAATATGCACCAATTCAACGATTCCTCCATATACAATTCAGTGACACTGGGACATTCTGCAGGATGTGCAACCGTTCTCAGCATCCTTTTCTGAGTTGTTCCTCCCACATTGACACAAATCCACTGCTCCCTAAAGCTTCCTATGACTTTTGTCCATTTGATCCCATCCTGGTGGCACAACTCAGCTACCAAGTGGAAGGGCACTGGTTCACACCCAGAGCCCACTCCGTGGGAGAACAGGTCTGCTTCTGCTTCAGTAAAGTTTACAGTCTAGGGGACCCAAAAGGGCGGCTCTCCTTGCCCCGTAGAGAAGCTCTGAGTCACAATCCACTTGAGACAAGCAGTACAACAACACGGCAGTTCTTTAAAACAGCCCAATGCTTACGGAAGATGTTTTCTTACTAATTTAGCTAAACTTTCCAAACCACACCAACTGAACACACTTCTGTGGAGTCCGTTCCATTCACAGCCACCCTATAAGACAGTAGAAAGTGCTCCTGCCTTGGTGGTGGTGGTGGTTATGTGCCGTGGAGTCAGTTCCGACTCATAGCGACCTGTACAGGGTTTCCAAGGCTGTAAATCTTTACATGAGCAGAAAGCAGCATCTTTCTCCTGCGGAACAGCTGGTAGTCATGGCTTGTAGCCCAATTCGTAACCACTACTTTACCAGAGTGCCTGCCTTAGACAGCCTCATTTGTCTCCTCTGAGCTTCTGTGGGTTTGAACCACTGACTTTTCTGTTAGCAGCCCAAAGTGCAACCCACTGCACCATTGCTGTTGCCATCTAGTCATTTCTGACTCACAGCGACCCTGTGTAGGGCTTCTGAGGAGCAGCTGGTGGGTTTGAACTGCTGTCCTTGTGATTCACAGCCCAGTGTTGATCCTACAGCGCCATGCCAGGAGTCCAACTGCACCATTAGAACGCCTTAATGAAGCCTTCGGGGGATATTTTTGGTTTAAGGTTTTTAAAACTTATCACAAGGCAATAGTTTGAAGGTTTCATCCAATCACAATAGCTCCAGAAAGTTTGCATTCCATGAGAATTTGAAATCCTGTACCTCATTTTTTCCAGTTTTATTCAGGAGTTTCCTATAGAATCCTTGATTGAAATGTTTAGTCATGGTCACTGGGCACCAGCTAGCACCTATGGTCCCTTCACAGAGCACTGAGTTGTTCAAGGAGGCTGTTGACCACACAGTCCATAGCCTAGTCCTGATTCGCCTTCCTTTGTGCTCTAAGTGAATAGAAACTAATTGTTGTACCTTGAAACTCACCAATTCTTTTGCTTCTCACTTCTTTGTCTTTCTTCTGTTTTATTTTGTTGTTGTTATTTGTCTGTTTGGCCAAGCAGCAGAAAAATGTTTCCGTCAAGTTGAATGGTGAATACCTTATAAGTGAAATGCAGCCACACACGTATTATCTGGTCCGAGTACGCTGTGCTTATAGTGACCACTTCTGGAAATGGAGCGAATGGACTGATCAGGAAGTCACCACCCTTGAAGCTGGTATGTTCAGCTCCCGACCATGTAACCGAAGGCCTAAGCTAACTAACAAGAGATGGGTTGGATCCTTAAGAGCTTTTGGCAATGCCAAAACTCAGGGGAAAGCATTAAAGCAGAGACTGTTCATCATCTTTTAAAAGAAAATCTGGATGAGCCATCAAAGAGTGCCAGGAACGGCAGGAGAGGGGAGTATACACATGCTAAAAATAAAAGATAAAAATGAAAAATCTAATCACATGCGAATGGGCAGCCATCTACTTCATATATTTGACGTCACTGTTATTTCTACTGTCCATTTTCTTTCTGACCTCTGGTGTAGCTAAGTGCCTTTGAGTCAGTTCCAACTCAAAGTGACCCTATGTAGGGTTTCCAAGGAGCGACTGGTGGGTTTGAACCACTGGTCTTGCAATTCAAACCGCACTTGTCATTGAGGGCTTTTCCTACAACTTCACACCAAAATGGTTTCTAAGCTAGTACTGGTGTTGGATTCACATTGATCTTGGACTATGTGAGTGAGTGTTGCCCTTTGATTCAATGCTGGTGACAAATAGGAGTGATAATGCCAAGGAGAGAGGAACTGTAATGTGATCATTAGCAAGCCATCTGCTCCAGCATGAGCCCTCTCCAGCTTGCTCTCAGAGGAAGTGTTGCCTCAATATTCACTGAACAGAGAGACTTTTCCTCCCAAATGATTATGTCTCTGAGCTCCACTGGGCCTTAGGAGATTAGATTGTCAAGCTTTGCATCCTTTCCTTCCAACTTAAGATCATATACCATTACATTACCCATTTTACAGTCTTCGCAACTTGAACCATAGATTGCCCAATTTTCAAAGTTAATAGATGGCTAGGTCATATGTCGTGGTGCTGTAGGATAATTACTAGACTACTAACTGCAAGTTGGCAGTTCAAACCCACCAGCTGCTTCTCAGAAACCATATACAGGGTCACTAGGAGTCAGAATATACTCCGCAGCACTTAAAACAACAATAATAGTAACAGTTATTATTATAGCTTTTTGTTATTGTTATGTGCTATCGAGTCAGCTCTAACTCATAGTAACCCTGTGTAGGTCGTCTGGGGAGTGGCTGGTGGGCTTGAACTGCCAGTCTTGCAACTGGCAATCCAGTGCTTATACGATAGTGCCATGTCAGGACTCATTATTCTAGGTAGCAGATAATACTCTAGTGTTAAGTACGTGCTCCTCATTCTTCTAAGTGCTATTTGTCTCTTTTAATCATTACAACGTATGGTAGATAGAGGAGAACAGTGAGGTACAAAAAGCTTAAGTAAGGAGCTGTGGTGACACTGTGGGCTAAGCATTGTCCTGCTAACTCCAATGTCAGTGCTTCAAACTCAACAGCCAATCACAGGAAGATGAGGCTGTCTGCTCCCATAAAGCTTTGCAGTCTTGACAACCCTACGGAGCAGTCCTACTCTATCCTGTAGGATTGCTGTGATTCGGGATTGACTTGATGGCAGAGGTGGTGGTGGTAACCAGAAAGCAGGAGCCCTGGTGATTAGGTCCTTGGAAGTTCAAACCCACCAGCTGCTCTGCAGGAGGAAACTGGGGCAGTCTGCTTTTGTAAAGATCACAGCCTGGGAAACCCTATGGGGCCGTTCAACTTTGTCCGGAAGGGTCACTATGAGGAAGAATCAGGTCAGTGACTGCTTGAGGTGGTTCTCACAACTACTCAGGTAGTCAGATTCCAGAGCTCCATCCGTAACAGAAGTAGATATTGTTGTTATTACAACTTTGTGGCCCTGTTCATTCAAGTCTTGGCATTGTACAGCCAAAGGAAGAGCTATATGTATTTATTTTACTCCATCTTATAATTTGTGGTGGCAGTCTGGCAGAACTCTGTCTCCTTCATCCTCACAGGGCCACTTTAAAGCAGTCTTTGGAATGGGGGGCATTGAGAGAAACTAATCAGAATCAGCATATGGGGACTGTCTCATTTCAGCCTCAGTCACTGATGGTTTCTAACCACCCTCAGACCCTCCAATACTTCAATCATGTTTATTAGGAGTGCAGACCATTCCAGAATCTCTTCTGTGGAAAGTCCTAATCCTGATAGGAATGTGGTATACTCCTAAGCTTTGTTAAGGAATTGTAGCTTAAACAATACGGTTTTGCATTGGGTTTTTTGTTTTTGACATGTTTTTTTCAGCATTATAACTTCAATGAAGTATAAAAGGGGAATGGCAAAAGAGTAGAGTTCTTAGTAAATCGTGTTTCTTTCCTATTATGATAGAGTAAGTCTGACAATCCTTGACTTTGCTTTTGGTAATGACAGAAAAATAAAAATGAGATGAATCTACTGATGGTGAATGGATAGATATTTTTATTTCTGATAATACTTTGCATGGGAACACTGAATGGTTTAAAATTAAGAAAGGTGTGTGACAGCATTGTATTCTTTCACCATACTTATTCAACCTGTATGCTGATTAAATAATCTGAGAAACTGGGTTATATGAAAAAAAATGTGGCATCAGGATTGGAGGAAGATTCATTAACAACCTGCAATATGCAGATGATACAACCTTTCTTGCTGAAAGTGAAAAAAGACTTAAAACATTTACTGATGAAGATCAAAGAGCAACCTGCAATATGCAGATGATACAACCATGCTTGCTGAAAGTGAAGAAGGCTTAAAACAGTTACTGATGACTATCAAAGAGCACAGCCTTGGGTATGAATTGCAACTCAATGTAAATAAAACAAAAATCCTCACCACTGGACCAATAAACAACATTCTTATCAATGGAAAAAAGATTGAAGTTGTCAAGGACTTCATTCTTCTTGGATCACTATCCACACTCACAGAAGCAGCAGTCAAGAAATCAAACAATGTATTGCATTAGGCAAATCTGCTGCACAAGACCTTTTTAAAGTGTTGAAGAGCAAAGATGTCAGCTTGAGGACTAAGGTGCGCCTGACCCAAGCCATGGTATTTTCAATAACCTCACATGCATGTGAAAGCTGGACAGTGAATAAGGAAGAATGTAGAAGAATTGATGCCTTTGAGTTATGATTTTGGAGGAGACTATTGAAAGTGCCATGGGCTGCCAAAAGAACCAATAGATCAGTTTTGGAAGACGTGCAACCAGAGTGCTCGTTGGAGGCCAGAATGGCCAGACTTCGTCTCTCATACTTTGGACATATTGTCAGGAGGGACCAGACTCTGGAGAAGGATATCATGTTTGGTACGGTGGATGGTCAAAGAAAAAGAGGAAGCCCCCCAACGAGATGGATTGGTAAAGTGGCAGCATCAATGGGCTCAAGCATGGCAACAATAGTGAGGTTGGCCCAGGATCGGGCAGTGTTTCGTTCTGCTGTGCATAATAAGGTTGTATGAGTTGGTACCGACTTGATGGTACCTAACAACAACAACAACAATGCTAGGTAACTCATCATTTATGTGCATTATAATCATACTTAGGAGCCCTGGTGTAACAATGATTAAAGTGTTGCCACTCTAGTTCTAACCTAGTAGCCACTAGTGGTGCTGTAGTATCTGTAGCACTAGAGTGCTAAAAAAAATTTGAAGTTCAAACCCACCAACCACTCCAAAGGAGAAAGAAGATGCTTTCTGCTCCCATAAAAATTTATAGCCTCAGAAACCCTATACAGTCACTATGAGTCAGAACGAATGTGATGGCACTTAACAACAACAATAACAACAACATAGAGTTGTTAAGAGTATCAAATAAGTGAACATATATACAGCACTTTGGAAATAGAGCTGCACCTGGTAACTCTTTTATAAATGTTAGCTGGTGTTATATATAATCCTCACAATTGGACCAATAAGCAACATCATGATAAATGGAGAAAAGATTGAGGTTATCAAGGATTCCATTTTACTTGGATCCACAGTCAGCATCCATGGAAGTAACAGTCAAGAAATCAAACATCATATTACATTGGGCAAGTCAGCTGCAAAAGGTCTCTTCAAAGTATTAAAAAGTAATGAGAATGGAAAGGAGGCAGGACAAGATGGCAGACTAGGTAGAAAAGCTGGACAAGAAAGATTCAGAGAATGGTCCTAGAACTGGGAGCTTCAGATAAAATAAATGGATTGAGTGCTTACCAGGAGAGAGAGTTGAACAGATGTGGCAAGTATGGAAGTGTCTTCTAATTTGGGCCAGCTAATGGGACCTGACACAGCTATCTTGAGTGTGTGTGAGCAGATTAAGAGACAAGAAAACATTCAACCCAGTCACTTTTCAGCAGGTTATTATTCAGTTTCCATGTATTCAACTTTATTTTCTTGGTCTTCTTATTGCTGATTTCTAGTTTTATAGCATTGTGGTCTGAAAAGATGCTTTGTAGTATTTTGATGTTTGTAAATTTATGGAGGCTTGATTTGTGACACATGGTCAATTCTGGAGAATGTTCCATGTGCACTGGAGAAGGCTGTATGTTGAGCTGTTTTGGGGTTGAATGCTCTGTACGCATCTTTGAGGTCAAGTAGGTTAATTGTGTTGTTTAGTTCCTCTGTAACTTTGTCAAGCTTCTTTCTGGTTGTTCTGTCCCTTTTCACAAGTGGCAGATTAAAATCTCCCACTATAATTGTAGATTTATCTATTTCTTTCTTCGATTCTAGTAGGGTTTTCTTCATATATCTTGGTGCTCTTTCATTGAGAGCGTAGATATTTATTATGGTTATGTTGTCTTGCTCAATTGACCCTTTGATCATGAGATAGTGTCCTTCTTTATCTCTTATGATGGTTTTTGTCTTAAAGTTAATTTATCAGATATTAGTATTGCCACTCCTGCTTGTTTATTATTGCAGTTAGCTTGGTATATTTTTTTCCATCGTTTTACTTTTAGTCTGTTTGTCTCTTCACTGGTGCATTAACTCTATTGGCATTCAGTGTAATTATTGATAGGTATGAATTAATTGTTGCCATTATGTTAATTTTTGATAGTGCTGTTTGTTCCTTTGTTCTGCATGCCTTCTTGTGCTGAGTTTGTGTGTTTTTTGTGTGCTATTTCTTGTCAGTTTCTTCTTAGTTTTCATGTTCTGCTTGGATGTTCATTTTCATGGCAAGTTGTGAAGTATTAATTTTTTGGGGGGTTACCCTATAGTCTGTTAACTTTCCCTTCCATTTAAGACAGTCTATTGTATCCTGTAATCTACCTGATCTCCTCACCACCTGGATCTCTGTTCCTCTATGTTTCCCTTCTTTGACATTGTTATTTTGCTCTTCAGTTGACCTCCCAGCTCCTTTGAATTCATTGTTGTAATTTTGTTCTGTTCTGGACTCTGCTATCTGTTGTCTGAGTTTCAGGTGGTGTTGCCTTACCTGTCAATCTCTGGTTGTTGTCTGTTCTTGTTGGTTTTCACTCTAAAGAACTCCCTTTAGGATGTTTTGAAGTGCTGGATTGGTTTTGACAAAATCTCTTAGCTTCTGTTTATCCTGGAATGTTTTGATTGCACCATCGCATTTGATTGACAGTTTTGCTGGATAGACGATTCTTGATTGGCAGGTTTTTTTCTTTTAGGTTTTATATATGCCTCCCATTGCTTTCTTGCCTGCATGGTTTCTGTTGAGAAGTCAGAGCTTAATCTGATTTGCTTGCCTTTGTAGGTAACACTTCTTTTTTCCTTGGCTGCTTTTAGGATGCTCTCCTTATCTTTGATTTTGGAGAATTTGATTATGGTATGTCTTGGTGATTTTCTTTTGGGGTATATCCTTCCTGGGGTACATTCGGCTTCTTGAATGTTTATCTTCTTATTCTACAAGATGTTAGGAAAATTTTTTTCCATAAGTTCTTCAACTATCTCCTCTGTGGGTTTCTCTGATTCTTCCTGTTCCAGAATGTCAATAATTCTAAAGTTATTCATCTTCATGTTATCCAACATGAATCTTAGACTCTCTTCAGATTTCTTAATCCTTTTTTCTGCTTGCTCTTCAATCTTAGCATTATTGAGAGATTTGTCTTCCAGCTTACTGGTTCTGGCTTCCGTCTCTTCAATTCTGCTCCTTTCCCCTTTTTGTATATTGTCTATGTCTGATATTTTGTTATTAATCATCTGGACCTCTTTTTGCAGGTTTTGAATTGCTTGCAGTGCTGTATTGATCTTATTTGATTTCTCCTGTAGTATTTTCCTGACTTCTTCCTTATTTTCCTCCACCCCTTTGTGGAGCATTTGAATTTGTTTCTATATCATTCTTAATTTCTTCTCAGGCAAATCCAAAATCTCTTTTGGAAAGCCTTTGTCTGCCTCCAGCTCATTTGTCTCAGTTACTCTTTTCTGGTGGTTTTGGACATTTTTGAGATATTTTGTTGTGTTTGTTGTTGTTGTTGTTTTGTCATTTTCAGTAGTTAGGTAAATTTTTCATGCTTAAATGGATGTTTGTTGCTGTGCTGTTACACTTCCTGAGTGTCTTCAGGTGGATATGATCAGGAGATAGGTGTCCCTTTTCACGTGCAATGCCTTGAAGCTTGTTACTAGTTCTTATCTCAATGGTGACATATTATAGGTTATGCATGTAACTTGGCTATATGGTTATGATTACTGTCTCTTCTTGAGTAATGCAGGCATAAAAAGCTCCCACCTCCAGCAAAAAAGTGTGATCAAAAGACCCCAAAACAGAAACAATATAAAAAAAGCAGAGACAAAACCCACCACTCTAAAACAAAAATAAAACCGTAGCCACCTGGCTAGTCACCTTTGCTGCTTTGCATGCACCATAGAAACTTCCAGCAATGGGTGGGGATGTCCACTCACTCTGGCCCCTCCTCTAGTCACCACAGTAGAGGTGCACAATTATATATTGAGAAGTTAATGGGATAATAATTGTCTACTATTTTTGTCTCTAAAGGTCAGTTAGGTATGTGCGTGTTCACAGTGTAATTCTCAAAATAGTTGTGTCCTTTTTTGTTGGAGTTTTACAGAGTGTTCATATGGTTTGTCTGGCCAGACCTGCTTTTTTCTTTCTGGGTAGACAGGAGTAAAGGGTCCCACACAAGTTAACTTTAGGGCTGGGTCCCAGAGTCAGATGTCATAAGCAACTGCCAAAGAATTAGCCTGTGGGACCAATGGGACTCTTCCTCTCTGTGCAATGGGAAAACTGTAATCTCAACACTGGACCCTTTTGGGGGTGCGTGCCCACCTGCCTGAAGACATCCAGGCTGGACAGAGAAGGCCAACAGGGAAAAGGAGGGAAAAACATGTAGAATCCCCCCACACTTCTTTTTGCAAATGTCACTGCACCTTTAGTGCCCGTTCACTGTGGCAGTCTGGCTGTGGCCCCGCCCTGTGAACTCAGCCCCTGCAGGGTGGCCACAGAGGAAGTCCCATTTCCTGGATCGATTCCTAAATTCCAATATTTTCCTTTATACAGTGATTTTTCCACCCGTGGTTACGGGAAATTGATGCCCTGCACCTTATGCTTAATCCAGAGCCTTGTAGCTGTTCCATGAAAGCAGCTTTTGTGGGTCTTCAACCCCTCCCCCACAGAGCCTGTCCTACCTGACTCTGCCCCTGCCACCGCCAAAACTGGAAGCAAAACAGACTGCTTTACAATGAGGACAAAATTAATAAAATACAAGCTAACCCCAAAGAAACTTAATACACCTTCACATCAAATAAAGAAAAGGATAATCTATGAAGATGTTGTAAACATTAAAATTATGATAAGATTGACAAGAAAAAGCACACACACAAAAAAATGAACTCAGCAAGGAAAGCATGTAGAACAAAGAAACCAGCAGCACGACACACACACACACACACACACACACACACACAAATAAACCAGCAAAATTATTGCAATAAATACATACCTATCAATCAATACACTGAATGTCAATGGATTAAATACATCAGTCAAAAGACAGAGAGTATCAGTATGGATAGGAAGACAGGATCCCTTCAGTATGCAGACCATAAGAGAGCTATCTTACACACAGACAAACATAGATTAAAAATTAAAGGATGGAAAAAGATATGGCAAGCAAATGACAATAAAAAATGAGCATGAGTGGCAATATTAATTTCTGATAAAAATAAACTTTATGGCAAAACCCAGCACAGACAAATAAGGACATTATCTTATGATTAAAAGGTCAAACAGAAGGATATAACCATAATAAGTATCTATGCTTCCAACTAACGAGCTTCAAAATACATAAATTAAATGCTAGCAAAATTTTTAAAAAACAAATATACAACTCTAGAATACCAATGTGAGATTTTAGTACACCACTTTCAAAAAGGGACAGAATAACCAGAAAGAAACTCATCAAAGACGCAGAGGAACTAAACAACATGATCAATCAACTTGCGTTCACAGATTTGTACAGAGCACTTAATAACAGCACAATACACATTCTTTTCTAGTACACATGGAACGTTCTCGAATAGACCATGTGTTAGACCACAGAGCAAGTCTCAATAAATTTAAAAACTCCAAAACACTACAAGTCATCTTCTCAGATCACAATGCTGTAAAATTAGAAATCAACAATTGGAAAAACAAGGAAAGAAAATCAAATACATCGAAACTGATTAACACCCTGCTTAAAAGCTACTGGGTAATAGAACAAATAGAAAAGGAAATTAAAAATTCCTTGAAGCAAATGAGAACAAAAGCACAACGTACCAAATCCTTTGGAACACATCAAAAGTAGTGCTGAGAGGGCAATTTATAACAGGAAACAAGGACAACCAAAAAGGAGAAAGAACCAAAACCAACCCATTATCACAACATATCAGGAACGCCTGACTCAACTGCAGAGATACAGGTGTGGACTTGCTTTTTTTTGGTATCTGTTCAATGGTCACTGGTCCATTCTGGTGACTAGAGGGGATGCCTGAGCGAATGGACGCCCCACCCCACCCCTGGAGGGTTCTACTACGCATGCACACAGATCTCCTTGAAATTTAAAGTGACAGTTTCCACTTAAAACCAAATGGCCACCACTCATCTGTCAGTTTGTCCTACTGTGGTTGCTTGTGAGTTGCTGTGATTCTGAGGGCTATGCCACTGGTATTTTAAATACCAGCAGGGTCACCCATATACCAAACATAAGCATGGAGTGCAGTGGTTACAAATTGGGCTGCAAACCACAAAGTCAGCAATTGGAAACTACCAGCTGTTCCACGGGAGAAAGATGAGGCTTTCTGCTCTGGTAAAGATTTACAGCCTCGGAAACCCTGTACAGGGTCGTTATGTGTCAGAACCAACTCCACGGCACATAACCACCACCACCAACCACAAAGCAGAGATACAAAGTGAGCACATGCTCTTGGGAAAATGATGCCATTAGACTTATATGGAGCAGGGTTGCCACACACTTCCCATTCCTCTGAAACCCACTATCTGTGAAGTGCAATGAACAGAGGCACGTCTGTAGTTGTCGTTTTATTGGGTGAATTAGAGAGAAAGGCTGATTGTGTGTGAACTAGGTTGAGTGTAGTGCTTTGCATACATACCATGACTCAAGGAACCTTTTTCTGGTCGTTTGCAGCCCCCTCGATGGCTCCTGATGTCTGGAGAAGTGTGACATCTGTGCCAGGAGGTTACAACGTGATGTTATCTTGGAAGGTAAGATGCACAGATCAGAAAGACAAATCTGCCTAGTAATATGTCTTTCATTATGAAATTATGGATACTGGCATGATCTTCTAACTGGGACGAACCTGCATGGTAATCCGGAAGTATTTCTTACCCAGTGATGGAATCCCCACTGCACATCCATGTCACTGATGCTTGGAGCAGTGAGAAAAAGCATGGGATTACTTGGGCTTACTTTTTAATAGGTAGCAAACAATTTCACGTTTTTTCACCCCATCCAGTCTCTCTCCCAACACCAGATGCTAACGATCTAACTGCCCATCAATGAATGAAAGGAAAATCAAACTATGGTCCATATGCACACAGAATATTATGTAATATTAAAGAATAATGCAAAAATAACATAGATGAACCTAGAGAACGTTATGCTGAGTGAAATTTGTCAATTACAAAAGGACAAATCTTGCAAACCACTATTATAAAAAGCCAAGGAAAGATTTATAACCCCAAAGCACTTTCCTGTAGAGTCAAAGTTTATTTTCAAATTTACAATCCCTGACAGGGACAGAGTACCTAGTAAGCAAGGTAAACATGGGCTTACTTGTGCTTACTTACTCATCTATAGTGAACAAATGTGGTGAAGTTTATATGAAATTGTTCACTACATATTAATAATTGAGCACAAGCAAACCCATGCTTACCTTTGCTTACTGGGTAACCTGACGCTGCTTGGACATTTGGTAAGTGAATCTCTTACATTGTGGACAGTCCACCTCTGAGTCCTAACTGCAGAACTTCTTCTCCATCACTTCAGCTCAGGCCCACATGTAGCAGCCTCAGGGCCCAGAACCAGTATCAGTGGAGGACCCCATACTGGATGAATATTTTTAGACATAAGTAAACACACAACCAACATTTCTTAAATGGAAAGAACTGAAGAAAAAAATTCAAGCCTCAACTTGTGATATTGAAGGATTCTATGGGTAAAACATCGAATGATGCAGAAGGCATTAAAAGGAGATAGATGGAATATACAGTCACTGTACCAAAAGGAAATGGACAATGTTAAATCATTTCATAAGAGAGCATATGATCAAAAGCCAATGGTACTGAAGGAAGAAGTCCAAAGTGCACTGAATGTATTGGCAAAGAACAAGACTCCAGGAATTGATGGAATACAAATTGAAATATTTCAACAAATAATGTGGTATTGTTGAAATATTTCAACAAATAATGTGGTACTCATTCATTTATACCAAGAATTTTGTAAAATAGCTACCTGACCAACTGTGCCAATTCCAAAGAAAGGTGACCCAATGGAATGTAGAAATCATCAGACAATATCAATAAAATCACACGCAAGTAAAATTTTACTAAAGATAATTTAAAAATGGATGCAATAGTACATTTACAGGGAACTGCAGAGCTTCAATCCAGATTCAGATGAGGACATGGAACAAGAGACTTCACCGCTGATGTCAGATGGATCTTGGCTGAAAGCAGAGAATACCAGAAAGATGTTTACCTGTGCTTTATTGACTACCCAAAGGCTTTAGATTGTGTGGATCATGAAAATCTAGGGACAACATTGCCAAGAGTGAGTATTCCAGAACAACTGTGCTCATGAGGAATCTGTACCTAGACCAAGAGGCAGTCAGTCATTCAAATAGAACAAGGGGCCACGAAATGGTTTAAAATTAGGAAAGGTGTGCACCAGGGTTGTATTATTTCACATACTTATTTAATATATGTGCTGACCAAATAATCTGAGAAGTTGGATTATATGAAGAAGAATGTGGCATCAGGATTGGTTTAAAATTAGGAAAGGTGTGCACCAGGGTTGTATTCTTTCACATACTTATTTAATACATATACTGAGCAAATAATCTGAGAAGCTGGATTATATGAAGAAGAATGTGGCATCAAGATTGGAGGAAAACTCACTAACAACTTGCGATATGCAAATAGTACAACCTTTCTTGCTGGAAGCAATGTTGTTGTTGTTAAGTGCCATCGAGCCGGTTCCAACCCATAGCGACCCTGATCAGGGTTTCCAAGTCTGTAATTCTCTACGGGAGCAGAAAGCTTCATCTTTCTCCCGCGGATCAGTTGGTAGTTTCGAACTGCTGACATTGCGGTTCACAGCCCGATTCATAACCACTACGCTACCAGAGAGCTCCAGGGCTTAAAAAACTTACTGATGAAGATCAAAGACCACAGCCTTTAAAATGGGCTGCACCTCAGTGTAAAGAAAAATCCTCACCACTGGAGCAAAAAATAACATCATGATAAAGGAGCTCTGGTAGCATAATGGTTACGAATCGGGTTGCGAACCTTAAGGTTAGCAGTTCGAAACTACCAGCCATGCCGCGGGAGAAAGATGAGACTTTCTGCTCCCGTAAATATTTACAGCCTCAGAAACCCTGTACAGGGTCGCTATGGGTCGGAACTGACTCGACGGCACTTAACAACAACAACAACAAATGGAGAAAAGATTGAAGTTGTCAAAGATGTCATTTTGCTTAGATCCACTATCAACACTCATGGAAGCAGCAGTTACGAAATCAAACGACGTGTTGCATTGGGCAAATCCGCTGCACAAGAACTCTTTAAATTGTTCATGAGCAAAAATGTCAGTTTGAGGATTAAGGTGTGCCTGACCCAATCCATGGTATTTTCAGTTGTTTCATTTACATGTGGAAGTTGGACAGTGAGTAGGGAAAACCACAGAATTGATGCATCTGAGTTAATGGTGTTGAAAATAGGATATTGAAAATAGCGTGGGTTTTTGGAAGAACCAATTACTCTGTGTTGCAAGAAGTGCAGCCAGAAGGCTCGTAAGACATCAACTTTGTCTCCTATACTTCAGATGTGTTATCAGGAGGGACCGCTAAGTAAAGTGGAGGGTCAGTGAAAAGGAGGAAGAGATGAATTGGAGCAGTGGTAGCAGCAAGCTTAACAGCAATTGTGAGGATGGCTCAGACCAAACAGTGTTTCATTCTGTTGTGCATAAGTTCACTATGAGTTGGAACTGACTCAACAGTACCTCAAAACAACATTTCTATTAGAAAGTTATGATATAGACTAATAAAGTGTAATAATAATGCATTTTATCCCTCAACCCTGAAGAATATACCTTTATAACAGTGGGGAAGGCCAGGGTTCTCTTCAGAATTCTTAAATTACTGAGTTTTATACAAAAACACTGGGAGTGTTGGCCCTTGATCCCAGCCCACTCCACATGTCTTCCCACCTCTAGCTCTGACCCAATCAGCCAGGAGCCCTACTCACACACAGGCGGATATGGCCAAGGTCTGGTACACCTCAGGTCCCAAACAAGCTGCCTCTCTACCAGCTTCCAGTCTCACAAAGCACACCCTGTGCCACCATGAGCCCTTGGAGGATGGGCCTGAGGAAAGGGCCCTGGAAGTGGACTCTGGACAGGGTGTTCTCCGTGACATGGACCATCATCTGCAGGAGGAAGTGGGGGCTCGAGATTTTGGGAAGCGTACAACTTCAGGAGGTGTGAAGCCCAGATGGGATCGTCTTGCTGGAGACTGAGACCTGTTACTTCTACTGCTGTGGCTCCCCTCAGCTGTCTCCCTCTCTCACTGAGTCTTTTTTTTTTTTTTTCAATAAAGTGTCGTTTATTTTTAGGTACTTCCATAAAGTTTTCAGTACACAGTCTTTTCCGTGAAGACAGAAGACAGAGCATGAGAATCAGCCTCCAGACATCAGCAGCTGCTTAGCTCGCAGCCTGGGCTCCCTCTTCCCATTCCATCATCAGCGTCTTCCACTGCTGCTTGATGGTGGCCACGTGTTTCATCGTTTTCTGATGAAGCAAACATTCTGAAAAATCATCAGACTCTATCTGGCACTCTCTTTCTGCCCAGATACCACGAATTTCATGAGCACATTCTGTCTACTTTCTTTCAAAACCGTGGCATTGAGCTGGAAGCCGGTGTGTCTCTTCAGCACTCTGGATTGTCAGCCAGTGGTCTACATGAAGATTGAGCCTTTTCTTTACATCCAAGAAAGACTTGGCTCCAGGGAGTCCTGATCTTCTCGCTGGTCGCTGCTCCGGCTCAGTCTTCACTGAGCCTTTTGTTTTCTGGCTAGATCTCCCTTCTTCTCCATTCCTGACTTGTTCACCCTTCTCTGCACAGTTTGTACTCTTGAGGGTCTCATCCCCAAGTGACCATCTTCTCTACTCAACTGTCTGGTTTCAGATTAGAATGCCAGACTTCAAGCTTGGTTTGGAGGATTGCTTTCTTTATTAGATTGTTTACTGAAATTGAAATTACCATGGATTATATTGAAAGTACTATGGACTGTCCAAAGAACAAACAGATCTATGTTGGAAGAAGCTCGAGTGCTCCTTGGAAGCCAGGATGACCAAACTTCGTCTCTCATGCTTTGGACACATTATCAGGAGGGACCAGTCCATGGTAAATTGTTTGGTAAAGTGGAGGGTCAGAGAAAAAGAGTAGGCCCCCCAGCGAGATGGATTGGCACGGTGACAGCAGCAATGGACTTAGGTACAGCAGTGACTGTGAGGCTGGCCCAGGACCGGGTAGTGTTTCGTTCTGTTGTGCATAAAGTTGCTATGGGTTGGTATCGACTTGATGGCACCTAAGTTCAACAACAACATTAAATCATTTTAATTGATGTGTGTGTATATCTTTCTGTCTGTCTGTCTGAGGAAGGCAGTTAAGGAATAAAAAAGATGGAAAAGTAATTATGGAATCTGCTTTAGAGTAAAATCCATTTTGAAACAATTATTTTCCATATTTTTCAGCCATTATCAAAATCTCATGCAAATGGAAATATTCTATTCTATAATATAGCTCTGGAAAATCTAGACCAACCATCCGAATTAAGTCCTCTCTCCATTCCTGCACGGCTCAGTCACAAAGAACTGATGCTCAACCATTCTTCTTACCAAATCCATGTCACAGCCAATAACAGGGGGGGGTCTTCTCCTGCTGCTGTGATGGTCATCTCTGGGAACTCCCAAGACGGTGAGTCTTGTTCCGTTTTCACTCTCTAAGAAAATGTTGATTAATTAGGTAGCTTTGGATAAATTGGGAAATACATGTCTAGCTGCTGAGAAAACTGCTCATCATTTTCTTTGGGGCCAGGCATATCAACAGGTTTCAGTGGGAAGGTCCTCCCCAGTATCAGAAGAATGAGATTTCAGCCATCATTCATGGTATTTCTGCCTGGGACATGCTTCATCATATATGGGAAATTAACCCAGATTTCGACAAGTAAAGCAGTATCAACAAACGGTCCATATTGAGAATTCAAGTTGGTCCTAAAATTACCTTGAGATTTATGAATTATGAGCTGTGAATTTATTACACAGTAAAAATGTTGTCGAAGTCCCTATGTAGTGCAAAAGATTAATGCACTCAGCTGATAAATGAAAAATTTAAATTCAAGTCCACCCAGAGGTACCGTGGAAGAAAGAGCTGGCAATCTACTTCTGAAAATCCATCCATTAAACACTCTGTGGGGCACAGTTCTCCTCTGACACCCATGGGGTCACTATAAATCAAAGTCAAATCCATGGCAATTGTTTGGTTTTTATTTTTTTGTTAATTTTATCAGTCTCATACAGTCTACTAATATTTCCTATGGAGTCCTGGCATGGCGCTGTAGGCTAAGCACTGCACTGCTAGCCACAAGGTCAGCAGCTCAAACCCATTAGCCACTCCTTGGAAACACTGTACAGGGTCACTATGAGTCGGAACCAACTCAACAGCACTAACAACAGCAACATTTCCTATAATCATAAAGGAACAGGCATCGACTTCCGAGAGGGTCCTTGTCAAAATTATAGAAAAAAAGATAAGCAGCTGATCTCTTGGCCTGTGAAGGAGGAAAGAAGGTGGAAATGGCCTTCCATTTAAATTCAGGACTCCTCACATCTTTCTCGGGAGAGCTGTGAAAAGAGGTTGGCTGCAGTAAACCGCTGTGAGACAGTGCACTTTGGGACATACTGCGGTTGGCACTGGGCACCTCCAGGTCAGTTTGTTGCTATCGTGTACTGCTATTGGATTGTTCGGAGTTGGTTAGAGCGGCTGTAGTATGCCTGTCATCCAAATTAAGCTGACATTTGGGCTGACTGAACTGGGTTAGAGGCTGTTTGTTTCATTTTGTGTGTCCAGGAAGAAAAAGAAATTCGGATTGCTCCACAGCCAGAAAACAGAGCAGTTTTTAGAGTAACAGTTACTCTATGAAGAATTGTATCAGAAAAGGAAGTGAACGGGGGTATTCCGTCTCCATGAGAAGCCAAAGCCACTGCCATCAAGTCCACTCCCTCACAGAGTAGAGCTGCTCCCCGAGGTTTCCGAGGCTGTAAATCTTGATGGAGCTAGACTCCCTCATTTTGCTCTCTCACTGAGTGGCTGCTGGGCTCAAACTGACAGCTTTTTAGTCAGCCACCCAATGTTTAACCCATTGTACCGTCAGGGCTCCAGCCATAAGGAGCAGAACTCTAGGAGAAAAACTTGGGCTTTTTGCCCACCCTAGCGAAGCTGGTGAAACACCTCTCGTCGTGTTCAGGCCAAAGCACCAGGCTGTTGCTACTTGCTTTGATTTGTGTTAGGTACCTAATGCTGCTGTAACAAAAAGTTCGGGTGGGTAGCTTTAAAGGACAAAGACTATTTTCTCACAGTTTAGGAGGCTAGATAATATCCAAATTCAGGAAGTCCATTCTGGACTGTTTTAGCTTCTAGTAACTGGTACTTTTTGACGTTCCTGGGCTTGTAGATTCATCCGCCATGCTTGCCCATCTTCCCTTGTGAATGTCTGTGTCCAGTCTATAAATAACTGCCAAGTGATTAAGTTTAGGGCCCATACTCCTCTGGTATGGCCTCATTAACATAACAAAGGAAAACTCTATTTCCAAACAGGATTTCAACAATAGATGCAGGTACATACATTGTTGTTGTTGTTATGTGCTGTGGAGTCGGTTCCAACTCATAGCGACCCTGTACGGGGTTTCTGAGGCTGTAAATCTTTACAGGAGCAGAGAGCCCATCTTTCTCCCACAGAACAGCTGGTAGTTTCTAACTGCTGATCTTGTGGTTCGCAGCCCAATTCGTAACTACTACGCTACCAGAGCTCCTTGTTGTTGTTGTTGCTGTTATGTGCTGTGGAGTCAGTTCCAACTCATAGCAACCCTATACAGGGTTTCCAAGGCTGTAAATCTTTAAGGGAGCAGAAAGCCTCATCTTTCTCCCGCGGAACAGCTGGTAGTTTCCAACTGCTGACCTTGAGGTTCGCAGCCCGATTCGTAACCACTACACTACCAGAGTCCCTACCTAGCCTTCCTTAAATAGTCCACATTCTCATGTCACTGAAGTGAATAAAGTCACTGATAACGCTGAGCTAAAACAATGAAGTGAAGCTAATTCATACTGGGTTCTGGTGTATCACAGTAGAATAAGCACTGGACTGCTAACCACAAGGGCGGCAGTTCAAACTCAGAAGCCACTCCTTGGGAAGTTTGAGTTGGAAGCGACTCCACAGTACTTAACAAGAACAATTCATACTATGGTATTAGTGACTGAAAGATTTTCTTAATTCTTGCCATCTGCCTCCGCCCCTCTCAACACATTTGTAATTTGAAAGAAGCAGCTTGAAAATAGAAACACTTTAGTCAGTGTGAATGAGTGAAGTGAAATATTTCAGCCTCAATATGATAGGAGGTGTTTTTCTTTGATGGGGGAGAGCAGGTAGGCTTCTTGGAGTTACGGTGGCTCTGTAGGATAAGCACTGAACTTCAAACCACAAGATGATGCTCAGCAGGGGAAAGATGAGGTTTTCTGTCCCACAAAGAAACCCTACAGAGGGTCAAAGCCAACTCAACCACATTTAACTAACTGAAGCTCTTGGCCATTTAGCGAGGATGCCCTCCAGGGGATAATAATTCCATACCCAGAAAAGTTCAAGCATGGTTTTCTCTCGGTGCTTGCTCTGCCGTAGTTAAGGTTGCCAAATAAAATAGAAGACATCCAGTTAAATTTGAATTTCAGATAAATAATGAATGCATTTTAACTATAAGTATATACTTAGAGAGGAGTCCTTGTGGCACTGTGGGTTAATATACTGGACTGCAAAGTTGGCTTGAACCACAAAGTTGGTGGTTCAAGCTTACCAGCCACTCCTTGGAAACCCTATACAGGGTTGCTGTGGGTCAGAACCGACGCAACAGTGCTTAACAGCAGCAACAGGTAGTGGACTACAGGCTGGGCTGCTAACCAAAATAGCAGCAGTTCAAATCTACCAGTTGCTCCACAGGACAAAGAGGAAGTTTTCTACTCTTGTAAAATTTACAGCCTCAGAAACCCAATACAGGGTCACTATGAGTCAGAACTGACTCCATAGCACACAACTACCACTACCGTATTCAGCGTAACATTTGCTCCTCATTGGCCAGGGGTCTAAGCAGCTGCTTGATCAGCGTCCACTTCAAGTCAGTGACCAACTTGGACAACTGCCCAGATGCCCGTGGGGGGCATCAGCATTGAGAAAAGAGAAATTCTCATCCTTCGGGGTCTAGGCGTGGTCTGGCTTGGGATCAGTAGTCCACTGACGCCATATCGTCTTCTTCCTGATTGTCAGACCTTAGGAAAACTCCACTGGCATATTAAATAAGTTGAGATGGTAACCTTGGTCTTAGTAGTGTGTACGTCCTTGCATAATCATACTTAGTATCTATCTGCATTTTTTTCCTTTTTCTGGCCCCTCAATACCTAACCCCAACATCTCAGGAGCAGAAGGTAGTTCAGGGGCCAGCAGCATTATCGTGGGGAAATAAGCGGCGTTATTGATGCCTTCAACAGGAAACTGGCATTTTTAAAAACAGAGTCCAGACACTGTTCACGGGATAGCAAAGTTTTCAGTAAAAGAGCACATGGTAAATATTTTATGCTTTGTGGATCCTATGACCTCTTTGTTGTTGTTGTTAAGTGCTGTTGAGTCGGTTCCCACTCATAGCGGCCCTGTTTCCAAGGAACAGCTGGTGGGTTTGCACTGCCTAACTTGTGGTTCGCAGTCCAGTGCCGATCCTACACAGTACCACAATATATTGCATATTCCTTCTGGTTTTGGTTTTTCATTTTACAATTATTTAAAAATGTAAAAATTATTAGCTCAAACTAGTAAACCAGTTGCCATTACATTAATTCCGACTCAAGGTGACCCATGTGTTCCAGAGTAGAACTGCATATTGTTGGAAACAGATTGCCAAGGCTTCCTTCTTAGGCATCCCTGGGTGGGTTTAAACCCTTAACCTTTCAGTTAATAAGCAAATGCCACCCAGGGTCTCCTCATAAAAACAAACCCCGGTTTTTGGTACAGATGTCTGATTTGATCTCAGGATGAGGGGCTTTATCAAAAAATCAGATGGGAATAGAGGCATGGAACCACCCTTGGAAGTGCTTCCCACCCAAGAATCCCCTGTGGCTTGCTAAATACCCTGCATATACACATTAATTTTTCTGCTCTTAGCACTTAGAAAAAATACAGTTTATTTAATTTGAAGGATTGTTCTATTTGTTTTATACAGAAGAGATTGAAGAAGAGATCATTGAAGCCACAAAGGATGGGTTCTCTCTGTCTTGGAAGCCTCAATCAGAAGATGCCATAGGCTATGTTGTAGAGTGGTGTGACCAGCCCAAGGGCCCACTCTGTGGCCTCCAGTGGAAAAAGCTAGGCCCCAAGACCCTAAGTACAGTCATCACCTCAGGTAAGAAGACCTTGCTGGCACGCCATTTTGCTGTGCTCGCGTTGCAGTAACTTCAGCTAGGCTCCCTGAACCACCTCACAGACGCCTTGACTTAGCAAAGCTAAAATTGTTGAAATGACAAACCCAGCATGAGTGGTAGGGGATCAGACTTTCTAATGTTGAGTTCTAAGATTTGACATTTAAATCTACTTTGATAGCAAACTTCTGGATCGAAGAAGGCTGGAATTCTTTGTCCTTGTCTTTGTTAGTGTGTTTTTCCTCTACGTCACAGGCTTAGTGACTCCCTCTTTCAAGGCGTTTGGTTAGGGCTAAAAAGTTTTCATAACTTTGCCCACTATGCTCCACTATATTCAAGGATCTATTTGCACATATAGAAATATTCTCCATCAAGCCTATTTGTATTTGTGGTGTAGTCCTGTCTAGCCATATCTATTGATGTCCCCACTCATAGATTTTTGTTGTTACTGCTCTTTGAGGATTAGGTATGTAACAGTATCTCCCTTGGGTGCCTTTACCTCTGTGCTCCTTCCAGGGTCCTTTTTAGCTTGGACCTTTTTGTGCTGACCTCCTCCTCATTGTCTACTGCCTTTCACTTCATCCAAGTTAATACTAGCATAGTAGTTATGAATCGGGCTGCTAATGTCACGGTCAGCAGTTCAAAACTACTAGTTATTCCATGGGAGAAAGCTGAGGCTTTCTGCTCCAGTAAAGATTTGTTGTTGTTGTCAGGTGCCATTGAGTCAGAACCGACTCATAGCGACCCATGCACAGCAGAATGAAACAATGTCCGATCCTGGGCCAACCTCACTACCGCCGCCACACTTGATGCCATCAATGATGTCACCTGGCTTATCCATCTCATTGGGGGTCTTCCTCTTTTTCTCTGACCCTCCACCTTACCCAGCATGACATCCTTCTCCAGCGACTGTTCTCTCCAGACAATGTGTCCAAAGTATGAGAGACGAAGCTTAGCCATCTTGGCCTCCAAGGAGCACTCTGGTTGCACTTCTTCCAAAATAGATCTATTGGTTCTTTTGGCAGTCCATGGCACTTTCAGTATTCTCCGTAAAGATTTACAGCCTCGGAAACCCTATGCGGGGTCACTTTGAGTCGGAACGTACTCCACGGCACGTAACAACAGCATTCTAATTAGTGATTTACTCTCCTCTCACCTCTTATTCCTGGAAACCTTCAAGGAATATTTCTTTCCATGTGTAAACCTTTTCTTGACTTTTATAATAGTGGTCTCCTGCAAGATTTGTTCTTTTATGATTGACTAATTTCACTCAGCATAATGTTCTCTAGGTTCATCTATATTATGATTTTTTAATATTGCAGAATATTCTGTTGTGCGTATGGACTATAATTTGATTTTCCTTTCATTCATTGATGAGCAGTTGGATTGTTAGCCTCTTTTTGCTGTTGCACATAATGCTGCAATGAACAAGGGTCTGCAAATTTCTGTTTATGTCATAGCTCTTGTTTTTGTAGGATGCTTACCTAGTATTGAGATTTCTGTGTCATATGGTATTTCTGTTTCCAACTTCTCAGTGAAGCTCCATAGAGGTTTCTGCAGTGGGTGTACCATTTTACAGCCCCACCCGCAGCGTATGAGGGTTCTGATCACCAGTACTTGTTGCGCTTTATCTTTCTGAACTTTGCTATCATTTGGGGTGAGATGTCATCTCAACGCTCTGCTCATTTGTAATTGAGAAAGTTTTTACAAAACCAGAGCAGTAGATGGATCTCTAGTAGATGTTTAAGACATAGAATTGATGAGAGTCAGTCATCAGTTCCTGTAATGGCAATAGAACATGCTGAACCTGAACTCTCACCTTCCACATTGGATTTGTAAGTTGAGAATGTGCTACGTTTAACAAAGGAGTCAGTGTCGAGGTGATGCAAATAGTTAAAACACTTGGCTGCTAACCAGAAGTTTGGAGGTCTGAGTCTACCTAGAAGCTTCTTGGAAGAAAAGAAACACGTCAGAGCACAGTTCTACTCTAACACACATGGGGTTGCCATGGGTCAGAATCTACTCACTGACAAGTGCAGTTTAGCAAAGTCAAAGGAGCTCAGGTTTGTACTTTGAGCAGAGATGTTGGCAGCATCTTCTACTGGGCACAAGATAAAGATATGGGAATTGTCTCTTCCCAGAGAGTAGTAGAGAGCCCTGCAAGCCATCACTCTCAGAGAATGTGGAGGCGAGGGTGGTATGACTGGGCCATTGTCAAGGGCAGTTCTAGTGGAACAGTGGGTGTTGGGAGCAGATTCCATAAGCAGAGGCATAGAGGGAAAGTGAGGGAGCAGAAGCAAAGCTTTCAAAGGCTTGGCTTTGAGCGAGAAGAAGGAAGGCAAGTGACTGAAGGGGATGGAGACTCAAGATGAGTGTATGATGGGGCTTCAAAAAAGTTCATGGCACAATTCCATTACCTTTTAACTCCATTTTTCTATGAAGTTACTCAAGCCTCCTTGTATATGTGTGGTCTAGCTCTGAACCCTGCTTCATGCACATAGATAAGGGCATGTGTGAAGAGCTGCTTGCAAGAGGAAGACGTGCAAGATGGCCCTTGCAGGCTTGGGTGGAGACAGGTGTGTAAGGCCTAATGGGAGATGGGGAGGTGAGACACAGGAAACAAGTCCTGAGAAGGAAATGATTTGAGAGACACAAGTCCACATATCATTGTCTTTTCAGAAATAAAGAGATTATTGTTCTGTGATCTTGAAAATCAGTTGATTTTTCTTTTCTAGATGCATTTATACCAGGGGTCAGATACAACTTCAGAATCTACGAAATATCCACACAATGGATTGCTTCTTTACTGAAGAAACTAACAGGCTACTTCGAAGAACTGGGTAAGTGGAAGGAGTCATGTGGAAAGGTGGCATTGAACGAGCCCCGCCCGTATTGACTCGTACCTCTGGAGTTAGGACAATTTCAACACTTTCTTTACTCCTTGTCAGATTTCCATTTATTCAAGCAGTTGCTTTTCTATTTTGCTTTAATTTTACCTACATAAGACATTTTCAGTTAGATAGTTTGTAAAATGTTGGGCAAAAATGAAAGAAAGAAAAATTACTGCTACTCTTGGCACGTAGTGGTAAATGGCCAGTGGTAATATTTCCTGTATGGTCCAGGCAATCCTTTCTCTATAAAAGGCTACACTTTTAAGATAAAAATAGTGTCTTAGTCCATGCACGTTTTTGGTTTTTTTTAACTGACCTTGTCCTTTTCCTGATGACCAAGTGCCTTATTGTATGCTTATGTCAAAGTCTTTTGTTGATGCACATTTACTAGAGTTCCAAGGTTTTTCAACTAGAAACTAGAAAATCCATATTCTCTTATCTTACAGTCTTAAATGCTAGATCTCTCGCTCTACAATCTCTTATCCTATCTGAATCACTATCATTTTAACTAAGCAGTTGCCCATATTTATAATTATTTTCTTTGAATCACACCTTTAAGGTAGGATATCTGAGTCAAAATGTTTAAACTTAGGTATTCTTTTCTCTTTTTTTGCAACGTTTTTAACCTTTGGACTCATGAAGTTGCCCACCAGAAATTATACCACTGCCTACCCCCTGGTGTAATGGTTCACTCTCCCCCGTGGTGGTTACTGATTAACCATCTTGGGCCTTCTGGGTCTGAAGTGTGGGAGAGTCAGGCGACTGGGCCCTGGATTATCTCAACACTAGCCAGACCAACTCACAGGGGCTCTTCTTTAGTTGGGGGGTGGTTCACCCTTGATAGCAGGCACTGTCCAGACAGGCAAGTAGAACGTGTTGCATGTGTGTGGTCTGTATAGCCCTGAGTATGCCAAGCCACATGGGAAACAAAACATCCAAATAGTCCTGGATTTTTTTTTCAGTGATATCTGGACAACTTTGGCTCAGGTGATAGCCAAAAAGTTGGTGGTTTGAACTCACTTGACACTCCAGGAGAGAAAGATATGCTTCCATAAAGATTTATAGACTTGGGAACCATATGGAGCATTTCTGCTCTGTCTTATAAGTGAAGATCAACTCAACAGCAGTTGGTTTGTTTCTCTGAATAACTTTGCATAGCCACAACTGGGAATAAGGGTTCTGCTTCAGACTCATCTTCACCTCTTTGAATGGGACATACTCCTCACTTCAGTAGGTTCTCTGGGAGGGGCTTCTTTTAAACAGTATTTAGAATTCAAGAACAGAAGTAAGTCTAAGAAAGACTTTTGGTCTCTTTTTTACTGTATGACTATGTGCAAGTTACTTGGTCTCTCTCAACATCCATAAAGGTGAGCCTTGAGTAGGAAGAGTGCTAAACTCCTTTCCTGCCTTCAAGAACTGTCAAACAATCAAATCCTGCCATCGTTAAAGCTCACGTAACTCTTAGAATTAGCAGCAGGTCTAGTTGGAATTTCCATGAATGCTCTGAGAAAACTTTCCAAATCATGACTCTATTCTTCCCCCAACTTCTTTCCCTAGCTCCTTCTGCCAACCCTCAAGTAGTCATGAGTAGGTTGACACCACACTCCTTCATGCTGAATTGGAAGGATTATTCCACGGAATCGCAGCCCGGCTTCATAAGAGGGTACAATGTCTACCTGAAAGCCAACATGGAGCAGTGTGTGCCAGGATTTGAAAGGGTACTTCCCTCAGGTGATGTCGGGATCTTGGTTTGTTCGCTTTGTCAAGATTTCATTATTTGAAATAATTTAAATGACTGGCCAGGCTAAATTCTATTATTGCAAGATCTTTTCCAATTTTTTTCCCCTTTTATTTCTGGGAAACATATGTGTATATATATATCACAAAATTTCATTTAGACATTTTTCATGTGCACAGTTTAGTGATATCAATTATATCCACCATGTTTCATAACCATCACCTATCACTGACGGCCTTCCCATCCCCAGAAAAGCAGAAGAGGTTGTCACACTAACTAGTAGGAAGAACAAGGTGATGGAGACGGATACCTCAATTTACTTAGAAAGCAATATGGCGGACTCTAAGCACTTAAAGCAACTTAAAGCTCCTTAAGAAAACCAGCTCCTTGTGAAACTCTCTTGCTAGTCTTTTTTGCTTTGCCTTTGTTAAATATTATTAAAACTTATTTTAAGTCTCTTGCAAGCCCTTACTGCCTCTTGCAGATTTCTATTTCCTAACTCGATCACTAATACCTTTTGCTTAAATTAATGGCTTGTTTTTCCTTCCACACCAGTGTTCCCAGTGTGGTGAAACTCTGCTTTCATTTTTGGTTGGTTGAAAAACATTGACTGTGCTCAGTCAGAGTTGTTGTTGTTGTTAGATTCCATTGAATCCGTTCTGCCTCATAGTGGCCCTATGCACAATAGAACCAAGCCCACCAGGTCTTGCCCCATCCACATAATCATTGCTATACTTGAGTCCATCGCTGCTGCCACTGTGCCGGTCCATCTCCTCTTCTCTGTCCCTCCAGTTTACCAAACATGATATCCTTCTCCAGTGACTGGGCCCTCCTGACAATATGTCCAAAGTATGAGACACCAATTCTGGCCATCCTGGCTTCCAAGGAGCATTCTGACTGTCTTCTTTCAACACAGATTGGTTTGTTCTTTTGGAGTCTGCGGTACTTTTAATATTATTCTCTTCCAACATCATAACTCAAATGCATCAATTCTTCTACAGTCTTCTTTATTCATTGTCCAAATTTCACATGCATTTGAGTCAATAAAAACTACATGGCTTGAGTCAGATGCACCTTAGTCCTCAAAGGGACATCTTTGCTCTTGAACACTTTAAAGAGGTCTTGTGCAGCAGATTTACCGAATGCAGTACGTCAGTGTATCCATTCCTAATTCTCTCATAAGACCTCTATCACAGTCTTAAAAAAATAATTTTTTCTTGAAATAAAAGTTTGGTGTTTTTTAATCACAGATGTTTCAGCAGGCTGCAGACACAAAATTGATAACCCTGAACAAAAAACATTCGTTGTGGAAAACCTACAGCCAAAATCTTTCTATGAGGTTTTTGTCACTCCCTACACGCGAGCCGGTGAGGGCCCCAATGGCACCTTCACAAAGGTCACAACCCCTGATGAACACAGTAAGTACTTTCCAATCAGACTTCTTCCTTCAGGCTCTAGGAAACAATCACACATTGCCTTTGTCTAGATGGTTGCTATTGCTCTTACTGTGCACCATCAAGTCAGTTCAGACTCAGTGACTCTGTATAGGGTTTCTGAGGACCTGCTGGTGAGTTTAACCGCCAACCTTGTGGTTAGCAGTCCAGTGCTTGTCCTACAATGCTCCATCAGGACTAGATTGTTATTGTTAAGTGCTGTTCTGTCACTTCTGATTCATAGGGACCCAGTGTGGGATTTCTAAGGAGTGGCTGTTGAGTTTTAACCACTGACTTTGCAGTCCAGTGCTTATCCTACAGCACCACACCAGGACTAGATTAGGAATTAGATTATTGTTGTTGTTGTTGTTGTTGTTGTTAAGTGCCGTTGAGTTGCTTCCGACCCATAACTACCCTGTGTAGAGTTTCCGAGGAGCAGTTGGTGAGTTTGAACCACCAACCTCGAGGTTCAAGCCAACTTTGCAGTCCTGTGTACGCACTAATTCACAGTGCTACATTTGAAAACTTTCTCTCTCATTGGTTTCTTTCTCTCTATTTGTTTTATAAAAATGTTACAGAGAGTCCCACTACATAAGGCAGATAAGAGTGGAGCCAATCTGACTAAATTATGGCCTAGAAACTTCTTGCCTTCCTCAGTAACCTCTGAGGCACTTCTCTGGAACTCAGTCTGAGAGTAATTTGAAAATCACAGCCAGCACTTTTTGGTATTGACTTCAGAGGAGACACTGGCGTCTGCTGAGAGCAGAGCAGCGAACTTTCTCTCTGCAGCTACCTCCCCAGCTGCTCTCGCTCAGTGGCACAGGAATGGCAGTCTGACTTTGCCAGCTATTCCAATGGGCACTGAGATTTGAGCTGGGAGAGTGGGGATCCAGGCAGGAGTTGGGAATATTTGTTCACAAACTCCATGTTTGCTAAATTGGTGGCAGATAGGGTGGGTGGGTGGAAGTGTCAGTATCGTCAAAATGTATTTGGTTTAGAAGTTGTGGAAACAATATGGAAGGGAAAGGAATAACAGAAACTTCCCACCCCAAATTTCATGGCAAACACTGACACCTAGAGCACAGGAAGGTGGTGACTGGAAAGGTCTACTAATGTCACGAGGAGGAAAACAGAGCAGCTCTAATGCCGGGGGTTGGGGGGCACAGGAAGTCCACCTGGAAGGGGCTCTTGAAGATACTCCTCATTGGAAAACAAGCTGGCTGAATGGTGGTGTGTGACTGGGACAGACTTCTGTGTGAGTCCGTCCTGTCTGCCAGCGTCCTGCTGGTAAAGGCAGGGCTGTAGGGGTGAGAAGGACACCTCAGGGATGACTCCTGATGCCCCATGACCTGACCACTCCTCAGGACAGGCTCCACTGCAGTGACACAAAACAGCAAAAGCAAAAACTAGAAACTAAAAGGCAAGAGTAAAACCTCTCAAGTCAAGGGCTTTAAAAAGCGCAATTTGTTAGATTTAAATGAAAATAAAGGAATTTACGAGTATCTCTTACCTTCTTTCAAACTTATGGTTGTTATTCTTCACTGGAAAAACTTCACAGGCAAAACCAACCAACCAACAAGTCCGATATATAGAGGTACTCAGAGAATAGTACGTAGTACGTCCATGGTAACAGCACAAAAGGAAGTGGGAGTCTGAGGCCTGGCCTCGGCCTCTTGTACCTCCTAGATCTGTTTCTGGCTTTCACAATTGTACTTCCTTGTGTTGGGGTGGCATTACTAATCAGTCTGATTATACCTTTGTCTT